CGTCATCTGATATGTTTGGCAGACTGTTACTAGTGGTGCCATCTAGTTCATTATTTGTTAAATTCAAGTCTTCACTTTTTGTTTCGGAGACATTACGGTTACGACGTTGTGTGATGTTCCCAAAGAAATTCATTTTATTTAAATTTAAGATTTTATGAATCACAAAAAGTTTCGCAGCTAGTGGGGTCCGAACCAGCGACCATCGACTTAGAAGTCGGACTCTGTGTTATTACGGCTACACGAACATTACAAGTTTATATGAAATTTGTAAGTGTTTATGAGAATATTATTCAAATGGTTAAAAGGCCGTTAATAATTTATTAAGATTTTTCACACACCTCCGATTAAAATTTTAATTTCTCATTTTTGGCTTTCTGATTAATACACACTTGGCACTTGGTTTATTTTGCATATTTCATATAAACAATTGTTTGTCATAGTATTATTTAATGTTTATTTACGTTATAATTTGTTTCGTCACTTCACTTAATTGTCTTAACTTATTCGAAATATATCACTTAGTTTATTTGGATAACGTTTGCGCACACTAATCACACCATGACGGACTTATTGGACATAATTTATTATACTTTTTTATAGGTTTTATAATTTTAAAGTCAATAATAAATCAGAGTAATACACTTCGGGTGTTTACTGTAACAGCGCCATCTGGCTTTTCAAACGTGTTCGAAACGCTCGCTCGGTGGGAATGATGTGACGTCACTGTGCGTATGTCGATGTACCTTTGATTGTTGACACTGAATGCATGACTTTGCCCACTCGCCAATGTCGGTGTTCATAGACGGCCAGAAGTATCGTTGCTGCATTAGTTTGCGTGTAGTTCGAATACCAGGATGACTTGTATTGTGCACAGCGTTGAATGCGATGCGACGAAAGTCAACTGGTAGGTATGGACGAATGTGAGGCGTCGATACTTCGCAGTAAATCGGCTTGTTTAAAGTAGGTATGACGATTTTCTTGAGTTGAATATTTGTTTGTTTACATAGGTTGAGAATATTGCTGTCCTTTTCTTGTGCTTGAGATAGTTGTTCGTAGTCTATCGGCGATGGTAAGTCGATCGTTTCAACGCGTGACAGTGCGTCGGCGACTACGTTGTTCGCTCCGGTCACGTGACGTAGGTCGGTCGTGAACTCGCTTATAAACAACAGCTGACGAGTGCGTCGTTGTGTGTCGTTGTCCGACGGCGGCTTGCGTATTGCGTAGGTAAGCGGCTTGTGATCGGTGTAAACAATGAGTTCTCTTCCTTCGAACATTTTTCTAAAGTGTTTGATCGCCATATATATTGATAATAATTCTCGGTCGAACGTACTATAACGTTGTTGTGTTTCTGAGAATTTCTTCGAGAAATAGCCGAGGGGAACCCACTTGTTGTTTACAAGTTGTTGTAGGACAGCTCCAGCACAGGTGTTCGATGCGTCACACATGAGTGATATTGGTTGAGTTGGTGACGAGGATGGGTGAGCGAGTAAAGCTGCGTTTTGTATGCTAGCTTTACACAACTCGAATGCTTGAAGTGCTTCATTGTTCCACTCGATTTTTGTTTTATCGCGTTTCTTGGAGTTATGTAGAAATGCGTTTAGCGGCGCTTGTATGTGGGCCGCGTTACGTATGCTGTCACGGTAAAAGTTCACCATGCCGAGAAATCGACGTAGGTCCGCTATTGTTTCGGGTTTGGGGTAAGCAGTGATAGCGTTGACCTTATCAAGTGGAGGTTCGATTCCTTCGCTCGACACTTGATATCCTAGGAACTTGACGTTTTCTTGACCGAAGACGCATTTTGACGGGTTTATAGTGATACCGTAGTCATTTAGTCTTCGTAGTACTTCTTGTAGATCTTCGATGTGGCGTGCGTTGTTTTCTGACGCGATGATTACGTCATCAATGAATGGAAATGCGAAGTCTAACCCGTTGAGTACTTGATGTATGAACCGTTGGAATGTCTGTCCCGCGTTTTTTAAGCCTGGACACATTCGGGGAAACTCGAACAAGCCAAACGGGGTTGTTATGGCTGTTTTCTCGATGTCGGGTTCGTAAACGGGTAATTGTTGGTATGCACGATTCAGGTCGAGTGTGGTGAAAATCTTCTTGCCGTGGAGTAGGTATGTGAAGTCTTTGAGGCGAGGTACAGGGTAGCGGTCGGGTTTAGTTACGTCGTTGAGTCTTCGGTAATCGCCGCATACCCGTATGTCGCCATTCTTTTTCGGGACGACGTGTAGTGGGCTGGACCAGGGACTTTTGCTTGGACGGCATAATCCCTGCTGCATCATGACTTCAAACTCTTTCTTCACGGCCAAGTATCGATGTGGGGGTAATGGCCGGGTTTTGCTATGTACAGGTGGACCGGTGGTTTCAATGTGATGTTCCACGCGGTGTTTGGGAGTGGTCTTCATGCATGATGGTCTTAGGATATCGGGGAATTGACTCAATATTTGATGATACGGCTGTTCGACGTCTATGCTTCTTACAGTTGGCTCGGCGGAATATGAGATTGGCGCTTTGACGGTGAGGTTGGTTACTTTGTCGACAAGACATCGACCGGCTATGTCGACGAGTAGTTGGTGGTGGCGTAGGAAGTCGGCGCCGATGATTGGCTTGCTGACTTCAGCGACGATGAATTTCCAACTATAAGGTCGGCGTAGGTTTAGGTCCAATTGTAGCGTCTTCTCACCGTAGGTAGGTATAACCGTGTTGTTTGCGGCGTATAAACAGAAGTCAGTTGGGGTTATCTTCACGCCTTTTCGTTTAGGGATGACGGAGACGTTTGCGCCAGTATCAATTAGAAATGACAGACGTGAGTTTCTGTCTGTTATAAACAGGCGGTATGACGTAGTTGTTGCGCCGGTTCCCGCCTCATCCAACGCACCTTTTAGTTTTCCGGACGGGTGTTGTTGTTCTGGAAATTACACGGACGTGTGCATCGCTGTGCCTCCTTCCCGAACTTGCGGTGGTAATAACAAATTCCAGAAGATTCCGTGCGGCGTGGAGTGTTATCGCGCTGTCTGGACTGGGAGCGATATCGGTTCGATGATCGCGATCTGTTCTGAGGTCGTCTCGACTGACGGTTGCAACGATGGTTAGATTGTGCTGCTTTGAGTTCGGCGATTTCCCTCGTAAGCATATCGATTTTGTCTTCAATACTTGTAGGTACACGGGGGAAAGCGGGGTTTTCAGTCACAGCAGCGACTGTGCCATGAGGTTGCGTCTGTTCGAGTATTTTGTCAGCCATCATCGCTAGATCGTGGATGTCCGAGTGTTTAGCGATGTTGTCGCTGACAGCGAGGACTGCGCGCACGGACTGGGGGAGGTGGTTTGTCCACATAATACGAAGCGCAGCGTCAGATATATTATCCGCGGCGAGATTCTTCATCCGGCGAAGTAACTGTGATGGTTTTAAGTCGCCGAGCTCCATCTCGGAGAGAAGGCGTTGAACTTGACGCTGTTCAGACTCCTCATAGACCTGGAGTAGTCTGTTTTTGAGGGTTTCGTAGCGGTCTCTCTCCGGAGGATGAAGGATAATGTCGGATATTTCATCGAGGTCTTGTCTTTCGAGATGACCGACGACAAGCTCAAACATGGCTTGGTCGCCCTTTTTCTGCGGAGACATAATCGCCTCGAACTGCGCAAACCATAGGCGTATTCTGTCGCGCCATATGGGTGGGATGCGCAGTGACGTCGACACGCTGGAGAGTTCCGGCGTTTTTTCGTTGGAGTTGGACATTACGACGAGCTTGATTTTCTGTAGTACTAGGCGGCGATTGATTGATTCTTGCAGAGATCCGTTGGCAGCGTCGGGGTCACCAATTTAGGAGCTAGGTAGGAGAGCCTAGTGTCCTAGAGGAGGTTTCTTCTTATCTTCTAGTAGTAGTAAAACTCCGATGAGAGGTGTTGACAAGAATGATTTTATTTCGCCAAACTACGCTACTTATATTTCTATTTACATATTTACAACTAGACAAGATCAGATATAGTTAGGTGATAGTTTCGACCAATAGCGGCGCGCCGTGCGCGGGGCGCGCGGGGTGCGGGGCGCCGCTTTGCACACGGCACTATCGGTTCCTTCCGTATAAGTATGACCGCGCGGCGCGAGCGCGCGCATTTCTCCGAGAGCCGGCGTTGAGTGAAGACTGAAGACTACCTACAGATGAATGAAGATGAATGCAAGTACTCCGGCCTCCGGCTCCGGCTCCGCTTGCGCTGCTTGGCTGCTTGCTTTACCAAACCGCTTCTTTCGAAGCGATCGCTCGCGGCACGGTGTGATAACGCTGTTGCCGCAGTGATGATTATCGTTTCTATGCAGGAAAGTCGAAAACTGTCTTTTTCAAGACAATTGGTTTCTGGTTTCTTAAAACGGAGTCAAAACGTAAACTGTCTTTTTCAAGACAATTGGTTTCTTGTTTCTTTAAACGAAGTGAGTCTATAACTTTGGTAAAGGTATTGTGGAAGGTATCTGGTATATGGAAAGGTATTCGGTGGTACTGGTAACTGGTAGGTATGTAGTCGTGCGGTGCGGCTACACATGTATGCACTAACAATATATTGTGACATATTTTGAATTTTAAATAGTTATGATTCAAGTCACTCTTAACACTTTCTTCAACATACAAGGTTACAATATCGTATGAAAGAGTTTTTAAGTTTCGTAGGTGTGTGCACAAAGATGAATGCTAATGCAGAATGGCATTCTTGTTTCGTCACTCACGGATAAAGTAACATTATGATTCAATTCAAAGATATTTTGTTTAATGATCTTATTGGTATTTTATTTATTTAGTAGTTTATACAGTCAAAGATTTGACCCGTGGTCGTAAAATACATTTTGTGATTTGAAACACTTTTGAATCAAAGCTATATTTATGTTGAATAACATTTTCCAATATGCTAAATCCAGCGAAGTAAAAGGTGTATAACCAAAGACTGTTTTCATTATGAGTTGTTAAAATATCAAATAGACTTGATCAGCTGGTACTTATTCCCAAAATTCTATTCTATAAACTAACCTATCCATTGTATCTTTCCAGTTGAGATCTACCTATCGCCTGTGGAGACACACTGCAGCAATGTGGACTACTTCATCCCTGACGAGAACAACGAGACGAAAGGCCTTTCGGACGACGCGATGAACAGGTAACGTTTCATTAGATACCTCATCATTATCAACAGTTCGTGACAGTGCATTACTGGACGATAAGGCTCCTCTATATAAGGGGGATTTGTTATAATCGCCTCGGTTGACAGAACTTGAGATCGAAGTTTAAATGCGTTTATCAGAATGCACTGCTGCCTGGTCTGTATCAAATGTGGGTATAGTCTCTTAGTCAGTTCCATACATATTCGTAACAACTGCTACTTTTATAAACTAAAATGAATCTAAAGTGGTGTTAAACCGCAATTTGTAGGTAAGGAGACCGTACAGATTTATATGGAGGACCACTGCAACCTATTTTGTATCTGCTTCTCACCTTTAGGGTTATTTTCTGATTATTCCACTCTACTTTCCTTAACATAGCACGAGTTTCCATTTCCTTATATCAAAAAAGGTTAAAATATAAATCTAGCATCGGCCACGCCTTTATGATGTTAGTATAAAATAAGTACAAGACATTTTATCCGCCGACCAAGAGAACAATAGATAAGGTCAGTATTAAAACTTAAGTATGTTTCGGGTCATTGGCCCATTCAAAGGCTTTAGTATGCCAGCCAGTGTCGGCACGACTATAACATGTTATGAGCAATTACCATGACAACCATTGACAATTGATTCTTATACGTAGGTACCACGTAGGTACTCACTTTCCCTGTGAGAAATGGAAAAACAATAGGAATAAATAACTTTGTTATGTCTATGAGTTACCTGACGAAAAACAATAACAGGAAGCTTTTTTCTTTTTGTATTTTAAGTGACGTTTGGTCCTCCTAAAGCAACATAACTCTCAGTTCAAATAAGTTATTATTCCAATGTTTCTACTATTAATGCAAGCATACTATTTAATAGCACCAAGCAAGCAGACTTCAAAATAGTAAATTAATTTGATATGCAGTCCTACATCACGGAAACTTCAAGGCACTAACGCCTATAACAAATCTAAAAATACATAAGTTTAATGCGTGGTTTTACCTCAATTTATTTATTATTGTATTTAGCAACACCTTGAAAAGTTTGACCTTACGAATAAACATTGTAGTCTCTATTACATCATAATGCATCATTCGTAATAAACATTGTAGCACAAGTTATCAAATTCATCCTCTTTTCTGAAGCAATATGGAGTTCCACAAGGAGATACACTAGGACCAACGCAGTTAAAATGAGACCCGCATTTAAACTGTCCTTGATGAGATTACTAGTCACCACTCGAAAAACGATTTAGACAAATAGTTTTATCGTCTTTTAATCAGATCACAGTTAATAATCATTTTTAAACTTTTATAGCTGATGTGTAATAAATTTGACCATTTATATAGGGACTTGTTTCATAGTAAATTGTGAACTCTCTTAACAAGTTCGATACTTAAGGCTTGATAGTGCCTTAATAATAATTTACAGTGTTAAAATAGCTTAGACTTGTGAGGAAATTCCTTGATAAGATTTCTGAATCTACAATCGCTCATGGTTAAAGGTAATCTTCTAGAAACCTGGCTACAAAGCAAAGTTTCTACTTTTCTTTTCTTTTCATAAGAATTATATTGTACATAGTACTCTTCGTCATAGGGAAACTGACCTTCATATCAATTTTTTAATATACAAATGATGACAATAAAACAATAAAACTTAGCGGTATTACAGTTATAACACATCTGCGGTTAAATGATCCACCACAAGATTTACTTCCAGTTCTTCATGTACAATGGACAGCGAGTCAACATACCGTTTTCAACTATCAAATTTCTTTATTAGATTTGTAACTCCATTTTATTTAGACATAAAGCCGAAAATCCATTGATCAAAATTGATCCATATGAGTAGATTGATGTGCTGGCTACTGTACTTGATAAAAGTACATTGTATACTTTTAATCTAACATATCCTAATATAAGGACGCTTAAATAATTTCATCAAGCTATATCCAAGGATTATTGTATTGAGTCTAAGTATAAATAGAATGAAGTTAAACTTTACTATGAATGAAGTCATCTTTAAAACACATTGTTTGCAGAAGGATAAGTAAGTTTCCATTGTAAGTAGACATAATAATGATATTTTGATTATTAAAGGGAAATTAATAATACCTACTTGTTATAATGGTTTATACAATACCTGCCGAAAGAATTGTCTCGTTTTAAAACACACTATTGTCGTTAATTTGAGACAAAGGCATGAGTTCATCAGGGACGATGGCGATGTTTTATTGACATAACTAATGATCTGGAAATGGGCGGATTATTTTTTTTATAATTGGTTTAGTACAAACTATTAGGGAATGAAAACCCATAGGGTGACAACCTCTGATTCTATTTTTATCATAATCATCAACTCATTTTCGTCCATTACTGAACATGGACCTGGCCAGCAGTACGTCTGAGTACGTACCCTGAGCTCCATGTACAGCTATCCTTTTTAAACAAAAGTTGTAAGTGTGGGAAAACCATACTTCGGCATGAATGGGCGGGGCCGGCTAGACCGGAGTGATACCATGCCCTCACAGAACACTGACGTGAAACAACGCTTGCGTCGTGTTCGTCATGTAAGTGAGGTTACCGGAGGCCCAATTAGCCGCCCCTCCCCGATCCTCAATCTCTCCTATCCCTGAATCCCCAACAATCCTCAATCTCTTAATCCCCAAAAGGCCGGTAACGCATTTGTAATGCCTCTGGCGTTCCAAGTGTCCATGGGCGACGCCGATTGCTTACCATCATGTGATCCGTCTGCCCGTTTACCGACTTAGGCCATAAAAAACTAAAATAATAAGATAAAATTGTCAAAGCGACGATTGGTTAGACTTATGACCGACGATTCGGAGTCGCGGAGAACCTAACGGGTAACCGGGGCTCCGGCTCGACGTGCTCATTCGATGATATTCCCCCTTTAAAAAAAAAAAAAAGACTTATAACCGAAATCAATAGCTGATCTTATTCTGAAACTCCATCCATATAACTATTGACATGGACACTTACAACAGAAACTCCTTAGATTTTGGATACTCCTTCAGTTATTATTATTGGCCGTTAGAGGGTAGCCATTGATCGATGTTCTAAACAGACCTAATTAACCACATTTTTATCAATTCCAGGCTGCATATGGCGCGCTCAACGGTAGCTCTGTTCATCGTGGCGTTCCTAGCATTGTTCATTGCCTTCTGGACTGGCGTGGTCGGCTGCTGGAAGCGCAGTCCTGGCAACATCACCGCCACAGCCATACTTATGCTTGTCACATGTGAGTACTTCATTATTATACGTATCAATAGATACTGGTGTGTGATTTCATTTTAGGAACGAAGGTTGAGGAACAAATGTACTTAACTTTTGAAACTAATAAAATTATATGTATCAGTATTCAGTAGCCTTTAGTAGGTTGAGATTTTCATGGAAGGCTTTGGTGAAAAAAAATCAACAGTAGTAACATAGTGACTAAGGTGTTATTTAATTAAGTTACGTAATAATACGTCTTTGTTTTACCTATTGGGCTTGCAAATATTGGCTATGTCCCAGCCAAATTGTATATACTAATCAAATTCAAAATCAGTCGATAGATCAGTCAAAAATGAATTACTTTCACTTACAAATCATTAATTCATAAATCAATCAATTAATCATTTCTTGGGATATTATGACAAGCACTTAGCATAGAGTTATGAGCAAAAGTGTAGATATAAGATATTTTAGTTACTAATTTTTTCTCTATAATGTAGGTATTTAACATAGAATTTTACGACGAAAAATCAACTTGGGGTCCCAAGAACTCGACAAACCATACAATGTCTGTCCAATGTAGGTATCTAGAATCTTCGGAAAAATTATCCTGATCTGAATTCTTAGATATTTCTTACTTTCCTGATTCTAATGACATAGTATTTAAATCGTTTTGTGATGGTGTTTCAGGTTTATTAGCAGCGGGTGCGATGGCATTATGGCATGGCGTGGAGTTCTACGAGAAGGAAAAGGTTGTTGGAGAGGAGTACTACCAACAGTGGCCTAATGTAAGATAACAGTATTGTCGAGACAAACATTGTCTAGAATTAGAATAAACGTTTAAGATGCTTTACAAGACAATACAGCGTGTAAACGGATTGCTTCGAAAAACGCTGACAAACAATTTTAGTTTAATATTTTAATAGTTTTTGTGTTATTTAGCTTCAGCCTTGAACAGTTGCTTACAACTATTATGTCATAATGCCGCGGAGAACCTAATGGGTAACCGGGGCTCCGGCTCGAAGAGCAGAAGTAGGAACGGGGTGGTTTTAGTCAGTAAGAGAATGACACTCCCTCCCGCCTCACCCAGGCGGGAGCAGTCATTCGATGATCTTTCACCCTTAACTCGTCGAGTACCGGTTTTATAGACACAATTAAAGAACAATAGGTCGCGGTCACCGGTGACCGCTTGGTGTTTGACAGATTAAAAAAAAATATGCCAATAAAAGAAACATTCCTTACTTTTTTGAATAGAACTAGTTTTTAACATCACCTGTCTTCATTTTTTGGAAGCGTTCCGTTGACATTCTGTATGGGTTAAGTATACTCTTATGAACCAGCATTGCCAGCTCCAGTACCTACACGATGAAGAGGTTGTCCTTTAGCCCTACCTTATGTGCCAAGGAAAGTCTATGAGAGCGTAAAAGCAGCTCCAGCTCAATATTGCAGCAATAGGTGTTCGAATATTGTAGCAAAATTTTAGCGAAGCTTATGGTGTAAATTAGTTTCACAATCAGTTACACCTAATGCTTGCCATCAGTTGCGAACGCAGAAGAATATCCACTTAAATTGTTTGAATATTACTATGAAGGTTTGTACCACAATATTGACCCAACCCCCAAATCAGGTGTTAAAAGACAACTCATCAATCTGGTACGATTGGTCGTACATCCTGGCCTGGCTGTCTGTCGGCGTTTCCTTCGGAAGCTCCATTTTATTCTTCTCCGCCGCCATTTGCCTGAGCAAGGAAAAAAGGCGGGAACAGCAGAATAACGTGCAGTACATAATGCCAGGTTAGACCGCCATCTTGAGCGGCCATCTTGTGATACGCTTGGCGGGAATAACACTAAAAACTCTTTTGTATATTTCTACGGTTTCCTCTGATGATTTCGTTATTTTGTATTGTAAGTGGGCAGTAATGTGTGTTGTAGCTAGGTACCCTGTGTTCTGTAGCATAAGTAGTCTATGTTTAAACTGTTGTGGCTGTAATACATGTTAATTTAGTTATTCGGTACCTACCCCACGTATTACTCTTCACTTAACAGTAAATCATCTTTAACTTAGTCATAAGTACGATCATGTAAGTATCTCATACTAACAAAAAGCTTTTCTCTTTTTTTCATGTTTCTATGAAACTTGGCTACTGCGTATAACTTCGCGACTGCGACCGGTCGTTTAACGCATATTTAAATGTAACTGGCTATCTCATAATATCTGGTTTACGCCAAACGCAATACTAACTCGCTTACGGACGAATTTATTAACATTGGTGCTGTAAATACTGAAAAATCACTAAACTGTATTTGAACCAACTAAATTGATTCCCACACGTATTTTGAATTGTACATAACCATCTTCCAAACACTGTACACGTGACACAAAATAATTTACACACATTTTGAAATTCGCGGGAAATTTTTGATCGATCGTAATTTTTGCTACATTAATTTCACACAACACTCATTGTTGACACCTCTACTCCCTTTACCCACACATGAACCGCGATCGGGGCGATATAAACCAGATATTACGTGACAACTCGCGCGTGTGGTACGACTGGTCGTACATGGTCGCGTGGTGCGGCGTGGGCCTGTCGCTGCTGTCCGCCATCTTGTTCTCGTCGGCGGCCATTTGCTTGCGCGGCGAGCGGGAGCGGGAGGAGGCGCTTAACATGCAGTACCTCATGCCCGGTATGCTTTATAAACTCATCATTACTTAGGACTTAGAACACATCATACAATTATCATTAAGTATTTAAGAAATCAGTCTTATAAGAAACACCGATTATGTTATGATTTAGATTAAAGAACACTTCAGTAGGAATTTTTACACTAGGTCTATCGATCGGTTTTGAAAGTTCGCTTTAATTACAGTTGATCACCGCAGTCAGATGTTTTTTAAAAATAAATATAAACTCATTGAATTCAAACTTATTTATATGCCCTACCAACATGTAACATTTTTCGCTTGTGGCAACACAAACACATTCCTACTAATAATTTCTTTTGTAAATATTTTCTCGATTTCAAACAGGGTGAATGTTGAATGCATGACTGGTTTGTGGATTTTGAATAAATCAGGTTTAAATTTTTTAGATGTTGAAAATTAATTGTGCTCTTTGCTCATCTGCTCATATTTTATTTGTCTGTCGATGAAATTCAGTTTTCAGAGCTAGATAAATTTCAAAACCAATAAAAAAAATTTACATTTGGATCAGCGTAAATAAACACCCCAGTGCTGTATTTTCAGAGATTATAAATTACCAGATCAAACGTCTAATATTTTCTCTGTATGTTTGGCAGTGTACCCACAAAAGCAGCAGTACGCTTACGCGGGCTACCCGCCGCCCCAGGCGTACCCGGGCCCCTACTACCACGGGTCGCAGTACGGCCCCTACAACTACTGAGCATGTGACCAGATGAGGGACCTCGTGGCGGCGCACTTCGCCAACGCCCCCGCCCCGCAGGCACCCGCGCGCAACCCCTCCCCGCCCCACCACCCTCCCTCCCTGCCCTCCTCCCACGAGACGTACAACTCCCACCGTAAGATCAAGCGGCCCAAGCTGGGCGACCGCAAGGTGTACCGGCCCGTGCGGCGACACACGCTGTCCCGCATCGACGAGACCCCGCCCGCCACGCTGCGGCCGCGCTCCAAGAGCCTGCAGCACTCCACCGACTTCTCGTCCACGCGGCCCATCCTGCGCTCGCGCTCCAACATCTCGGCCGACACCAGCCGCAGCGTGCCCGTCTGCAACCAGAGCCAGGACGTCGAGAACCAGGTGGAGAGCGGCAGTCCGCAGTACGCCGAGCCGAAGGGCTCCGACTCCTCGTCGTACGAACGGCCCGCGTCCATGACGGACCTGCCCATCATGGTGCCGCTGGACCCCGCCACGGGCGCGTACATCCCCTACCCGGAGTACACGTACTACCACGACGACGGCTGTCAGCTGGCTCGCTACCGGCAGTACAACAAGAAATCAAAGAAGTCCTCTAAACATAGCAACTTGTATCTAGCGTTCATGTATTGAACTCGCGCGGGTGTAGGTGTAGACACGACACACAATGGAAGCAATGGTTCCGAGTTTCGATTATTGCCGTACAGTGTATGACGCCACAACCCATGAATTTCATTTTGAAAAGTTTACGTCCTTGTCTCCTAAACATTCATACACTGTTTGTTTATTTATAAATGGGTGGCCCGAATCTGGTTGAGAGAATATCCTTCCGACTATTGGCACTTTATTTATTGCGCCGTGACGCGATGCCTCGCCCGGTCGACCTCGCGCCGCGGCCCTGTGCACGGCTGTACGAAACTCCGACGCCACTGAACCTTAACGTTTCATGCGACAACTTACGAACAATCTCTGCTACGAATTTTAGATAATGATAGAACTGTAACAATGTATCGGGAGAGACGCTGTAATTAGGAGTAAGTTAGAAATGACTCCGCCATAATATACAGAAATGAAACAAATTCTTGTAGTACCTAAGTTAAAATCTAAGAATGTTAAGATTTTGGTTTCATAAATAATGATAGTTTTTATAAAATTCGACTTATTTACTCTGATCAAATAAATATATCCAAAAGTGTTGTGCCTTCTATCGTATAAATATTGCTCATTCGTACTGTTTAAACATATCTTAATGTAATGTAACGTAGTGTAGTGCTAGATGAAGGTATTTGTACACCTCGTATAATGCAAGGCCTAGCTCTGGATAGTCACAAGAAATATGGTATATTTTGTCTTTGATATATCTCAATTTCTATGTCTAGATCAATTTATTAGTAATTTTTGTATGTTTTTTGATTGTCAAATCGATGAAAACCGTCCTTTTTGTATGGATATACGCTAGCATAATGATTTTTCTATGGATTTTTTGTATTTAATTTCCTTAGTCGAAATCGTGAAGGTATGATTCATACCAACTAGTTAGCTCAGAAATATTTGTACATTAATCAGTTTAGGATATTGATTACAGTAAATGATAGATTATATTTAATTGTATTTAAAACTTCTTTAATAAATAATTAGAAAAAAGTACGTTGTTTTTTTTTCTTAAACAGACCTAAAAAGTATAATAATACGTATTATTATACTTACACAATAGTTCCGAAGAAAAAATCCTAATACTATAGTTGCACACAAAATACGACGTTTTGTTTCGAAATAAAAATCCTAGACTTTACATTGTGAGAAGTGCTTTGAAAGTAGAAGTGGATAGGAAATAAAATATTCTTGAATTCCATTTATGACCGACGAAATTGATAACGACATCTAGTGATAGAAATACAATACAGTGCCATCTATTGTTGAGTAACAGTGATTTGCCCGCAAAGAAAGAAAGAAATCATTTAGAAAGTTTTCGATAATCATTTAATCAGCTGTATAGGTATTTTATTTTTATGTATTTTATCGATAACAATTCCGTTTACATGGACGTGGGTGAATCATCATCTACCTCGATGGGTAATTGGAATTAACGTGGTAAATATCGATTTCCGTGTATTTTTCTAGAACATTGTGGCGTCCCACTATCTACTATGCATGGACCCACCCACTATTAGTATTGTTACTAGAATATTGATATTGTTTATGGTCGCCATTGACTGACTATGGTTTCACTTTGGACTTAAGAACCTTTGTGACACTTTAGGCGGTTACACTTTTAAGAACAAGTCGATTACAAGTTTTACCATTGAACACGAATAAATTATGTACTCGGCGCACAACGCCAAAACATTATTAATACCAACAAGAAATAAAACAATAAATCATTCATAAAAATGTTTATTAAGAAAATTGTATAAAAATATTTATAATAATCATGGTAATTGGACGTTAGGTACATTTCTATCACATATCATGAGGCACAAATTTATAGTATACTAGCTTATGCTACTTGAATAAAAAGTATAAAACTAAACCACGTTTGTTGCACGTGTATGTATATGTAACAGATTAAATTCGTGCCACTTCATGGTTACTGTATTTTTCCCGCTAGATGGTGCTAGTGTAACCCTTTCGTTTTTCGTCCAATAGGGAAATAACTAGTATCACACCATTGGACGGTCAATATTTGAGAGCTACAGTGATTGGACAAAAATTGTTTTCCTAATTTGCGTCATTTGATGAGAAAAAACGGTAATCCCCTATATTATCCCTAACAGTTTATAAAGCCGTGTCTATAATAGGTCCAGGGTGTGATAGGGCCTGTTTCCTTTCTTGGATTGCCGTCACCAGTTTTCTGTGAGGTCCTAGAGGGAGACCTAAAGACTTCAGGTCACTCTCCGTGAGTATCATGAGAGCATCAAGGTCTATTTGTTCGTCTTTAAACTTCTGCACGTATTGGGAGAGGCCGAACACTGCTAGGAACCGCTCGAGGGAGGCGTCACCTGTCTCTTCAGCCTCAGTTTCTTCATCTGATGTGATAGTTGAACTATCTGTAAAGAAAACGGAGTTGATTATGAAGGGATTTGTTCCAATTTTTTAAAAGTATTTAATGGGCATCCTTGACACAGGAGGAAATCCTAGTGTGAACGATTAAAAAAAAAATTGGTGGCCTGTAAAGTCGGTATACGGGCGAAAGTTTTACGTGACAACGACTTTGAGTGGTAAAATAATTTTAATGTGAATATTCATTCGTATAGTAGGAAAAAGGATGTATCTCTCTCACTCTCTCTCTCGCTCTTAGGCGGGCTAACTGTGCTCGAGTGGAAGGGACGCGTGCCTTTCACTTTTTATTTCTGTCTCTCTCGCTCTTAGGCGGGCTAACCATGCCCGAGTGGAAGGGACGCGTGCCTCTCACTCGCTCTCATTGTGAGCGCATAACGTGAGCGGAGCGTAACGCAGTTTCTTGAAGTGTCACCCGGCAAACCAATTTATAAGACATTGTCACGTCAAAAAGCTATCTTTTCACAATTACTTCTGAAATCTCCAAAAAGTCGGAAAGTATTTATGGATTTATTTCTTCTATTAATTAAATGTTGTTAGAATCGCATTCGTAAGATTTGTGCAGAAAGCAATAAAACTACCTATATACAAACAAAAGGAATACAATATTATTTTTTATTTAATTATTATTAAAGGTATTTAAGTACCAATAGTTTTTTATATTTTTTTTTATTTATACTTTAATTTTCGTTGTTTTCCTTTAATTAGGTCATTTATAGATTTGGAAGCTTAAGAGTGTTAAATAAATAAAGAAACGAATCGAGTCAGTCCCAACACAAGTATTGTATAATAACTTACTGGGACTGCCTCAATGTTAGACAGATACTTATTGTAATTCTTAAGATAATAAACAATTTGAAATTGAATATTTAATAACAAGTTCCCCAATTGATACAAGACACTACATTCCGATTCACGCTGATACAGTTATGACAAAATTTCATACAAACAATGATACCCTTTCGTAAGGTCCAATCACGCTTTAGAAAGCATCAATCTACTGAGGTGTTTACCTGACTGTGTGGAAGTCCAGTTAGCTGGTTGGTACGCCTGTCTAGCGGCAAAATACCTGTCAGAGTCCATAGATAAGTCTTCGTCGGGCACTCCACTGTCAAACATCGCTGTTATTGAACGTCTGAAATCCATGATTTTTATTGTAAACCAGATACTAGGAAAAGTAATAAAAAGGAAGATTACAAATGGCAATGTCTTTTTTTTAAGGGGGGAAAATCATCGAATGGCTGCTCCCGCCTGGGTGAGGCGGGAGGGAGTGTCAGACTATGTTTTTATAATAACTACATTAAGTAAAAACGACATACTAAATTAAGTAAAAACGCGGGTTACTCACGTAAATATACTTAGAAAAGCTCTACTAGTTTCGAACCACAGAGGGGTTCTTCCTCATGAGCAGCGTGCGCGGTCGCGGCGACGTCGCGCAGTGAGCTGCGATATTCACGTGAGTAACCCGCGTTTTTACTTAAAGGAGTGTCAGACTCTTACTGACTAAAAACCACCCCGTTCCTTCTCCTGCACGTCGAGCTGGAGCCCCGGTTACCCGTTAGGTTCTCCGCGACAAATGGCAATGTCTACAGGCTACACCGTATGTCTTTATAATAGGGTAGACGACTAATTTTATTTTAATGTCCATTTGGTAGATTATTTAAAAACATTTGACACTTATTGTTTTATTTTCTTATGGAAATAAATACTTTCGAAGATATATTGATTTCAGTATCTACGATTTATACTCTAAAATGACGTAGCTACCCACTCCTAAAGATTGATTCGTTTATCTAAGTATTGTTTTCTTATACGACAAAATAAAAAAATACGTGTCTAATATGTTTTCATTACCTAACTGACGGACTAATTACATTTTTAATTTTCATACCCTATAATTTTAATATCCTTATTGGAAAGGGTCAAACATTCTACTACAAACTTACGTAACGTACTTCTACACCAAATCTTTTTAAAGTAGTTTACGATTGATATTATTATTACTTTACCTGAACACAACGTTGGCAACCCCATTTGCCCAAGGTCTCTCAAACATACTAGCTGGCTCTTGGAACATATCTTGTTCAATAGCACTGTCTTCGTTCATCAAAGCAAGGTCTGGCTGACTTAAAGACCTGGAATGAGAGGATTGTGAAATAAATGATCAGATATTTAGAGTATCTGACTGCCTCGTTGGGCGAGTGGTCGCTAGTGCGACTGCCGGGCAAGGGGTTTCGCGTTCGATTTCCGGGTCGGGCAAAGTATTACTGGGTTTTAAAAAAATCCCAGTAGCAGTACGGAGTCTGGAAATGTGCCCGGTATATGGCAATAGGCTAACCCCCTATTACATGGGACTCATAACATAAATAGTGAAAAATGGTTGTTACATTGTACATCCTTTTCCGGCCGTCGCACTTGCGATCACTCGGCCAACGAGCCAGTCATCAACCTATAAATTCCTACTGCTCAGCAAAGATTACTTCTTACACGGAGAAAAAATGCGCATCAATCACTACGTTTGCTTAAGGCGAAACATGAACTCTAAGCATTAAAATACCTAATAAGAGATTTCTTAGGCACGTTGGGCTCGGACGGTTCGTCAGCAAACACTTCAGACTCGCCTCTCTGCTGAAGCCCCGTGGGGATGGTATTCGAATACATCACTTCGGAATCCCGACGGATTCCACTCACCGACGTCACTGATCTACGACCTGTCGTCTCGATCACTGTGAACTGAAGAATAAAAGGTATTAAATTAGTTACAACTTTGGACGCTAGGGGGGACAAAGTCAAAAGTAAAAATAAATTAGTTTAGTTTAAGTAGTTCACATAGTTGAGCTAACTTTAATATATGTGACATAGTTAGGGGTGGACGCTGGGCTGATGTCGATTCGGAGTCGCGGAGAACCTAACGGGTTACCGGGGCTCCGGCTCGACGTGCAGGAGAAGGAACCGGGGTGGTTTTTAGTCAGTAAGAGTCTGACACTCCCTGTTGCTTCACCCAGGCGGGAGCAGTCATTCGATGATTTTCCCCACTTAAAAAAAGGGGTTGACGCTCACGTATTAAAAACAGAATCAACTATGCAAACTAAACTAACTTATTTTAGTTGGTGGTGGATGATCGGCCTATTAATTCGGTGGTTCGGTTTATATATAATACCGTATTTTTATGGGATACATAAGCTAATAATTTCTCCTCATGCTTTTATAATAACTATCTCGAGACATACTAAATTAAGTAAATACGCGAGTTATTCACGTCAATATACTGAGAAAAGCTCTACTGTATAACTACCAGTAAGTTCGGTATTCCGACTGCAAGGCAAAGCTAGTCGGAAGACCCTTCGAGATCCAAAATAACATTACAGTTTATTTACGAAACTAACTACATCTATCTATGTATCTATCTATCTTCTATTATATAAAAATGAAACCCGTTTCCCGTTGTCACGCCATAACTTGAGGTCTATTTTTTGTTGTGTTAGTTATTGTCAGGAGAAGGCTCTTACGACAGAAACAGGATTGCACGTACGAAGTCGTGGTCAGAAGCTAGTATTAAATACTGCCACCATAACTTACTTTAAAATCATCAGTGTTGACATTATTATTCTTCTCAATAGTGTTGTTCCTCAGTTTGCTAGCGAGAGCCTTCTTGTGCACCGCGCCCCGCCCTCTTGCGCCGGAGTTGGCAGTGCCTTCCAGTTCGCTTTGTGTCCGCCGAGGTTGATCGTCAGCTAGGAGATTGCCTGCAAATATTAGTAGCATCCTTGGATGAAATTTATAGCATAATTGTTAAGAAATGGGTGTTACATTGTATATGGCAGCGACTATCGATAAAATTCTTCTTTAAATTTATTTTCTACACCTATATCTCATTATTTTCACTGACATTTTTACAGCACGAGCAGTATGACGAATTTATACGCCATTATTAAAGTATGTGTGACGTATCGTAGATTAGGACAATACTAACGCTATCGGTGCACATTATCAGTGATATTAAACATCGGGGAATAAAATTAACACTTTATTAGGTAGAGATTTTCATGTCATGATAGTAGAATAAAATATGTGTATAATCACTATATATATAGTATAAAACAAAGTCGCTATCCGCCGTCTGTCTGTCCCTATGTATGCTTAGATCTTTACAACTACGCAACGGATTTTGATACGTCTTTTTATTAGATAGAGTGATTCTTAAGGAAGGTTTATATGTATAATTTTTGTTTTTTAAGGGGGGAAAGTCATCGAATGACTGCTCCCGCCTGGGTGAGGCGGAAGGGAGTGTCAGACTCTTACTGACTAAAAACCACCCCGTTCCTTCTCCTGCACGTCGAGCCGGAGCCCCAGTTACCCGTTAGGTTCTCCGCGACTTTATATGTATAATACATGCGTATTGCACCCGTGCGAAGCCGGGGCGGGTCGCTAGTATACATAATATAGTAATGTAGAGAGAGAGACTTGTTCTAAAAAAGGTATATTACGCTTATTACGCTTTCTTTTCCCTGTAGAGGTAAAGAGGTTAGAGTAGGTTCATTCAAATGTTAAGTACATTTGAATGAACCTACTCTAACCTCTTTTCGTATTGCATTGGGAGAGCCTCTAAAACAGCAGACAGCTGGGAAGTAACTAAAAACCTTCAAAAACTCTATATTAACTGTCCACAATACCTTGAAAAAAGGTAATTTTTTCTCTTGTCGTAGCGTAGATGTGTTCACAAACGCATACATAATTTCACACGCCCGCATGCACAGACGGAGAATAGCATTTCTACATTAAACAAAGAATTTGTTCCGTGCGGAACGTCATCTACATCTTTTGCAGTAGCCGGTCAAATAGTCAGTGCCCTAATTGGGTACTTGCTTTAATCAAAAATAAACTATTTCGACTATTTAATACAAAAAATATAAAAATTTAATCACACTTTTATTAATTGATATTACGACCAACTTCATTTTAGTATTTTCCAGCAATTTTTTAAGTGTTTGACGACAAAAAAAACGTGACGTCACAATACACAATCTCAAACAAAATTCATAGAAAACTATCGTTTTTGACAGTTCGAAAAAAGTATTAAATTCGACTAGTTTTCAAGTATGTACCCAATTGTGCAGTTGTAAGTTACCATGGCTAGTAGACCTGGCCATCTTCTGCTTCGACGCCCACAGCACGTTGCTGGGCCTATGTGGCATGGTGTGGACCTCCTCAGCATATCCCTGGTCCCACTCCTTCGCCATCTTCTTCAGCTCCTTCTCAGCCATTAGCTCGGCCTTACTCTGCCGTTTCTGGTATTGTTTGAGGGATTTCTCGTATTTTTTCTGTGCTTTCTCTTTTAGAGATTTAGCTTTTTTCCTGAAATGGTATAAGAGTAATGTTAATTTATGTTGTTTAATTAAATTCCGCACTAAAAAGGTGAACAAAACAAAGTGCCAGCATAATAATTTGTGTTGTTATGATCAAGTGAGTTAAGAACTAAATTATTATTAAATAGTGGACTTAGTTTGTAAATATTTGTTGACTGTATTCTACATCGTCAATCATTTATGTCATGTATTCAAATGAAACAATATCACAATTTGCCTTTAAGGTAGAATATGGTTAATGGACACTATTTTGTATAAGACCTTTTTTTTTGTACCCATGTTCGCAAATGAATAAATGATTTGATTTGATTTGATTCACATCAAGTAATATCGGTTAGTAACTTGATAGGAAATATTTTATTACAGTATGGATTTGAGGATATAGTCTGGTATGAAATATTTTTATTAGGATTTTCTAACCAGAGGCCTCATATTGGTCAAGACTTTCCTGATGCCATAATATTTATACCGAAGTACTTAGGGGGCGTCCATAAATTACGTGAGATGTTTAAGGGTATGGGGTACTTACACTCAAATCTCACACACACATTATGCCACTGTACAATGTAACACCCACATTTCACCATTTATGTTATGAGTCCCATGTAATAGGGGTCCCATGTAATAGCCTATTGCCATATACCGGGCACAATTCCAGACTCCGTGCTACTACTGAGATTTTTTTTAAAACCAAGTAATTCTTTTGCCCGACCCGGGAATCGAACCCGAGACGGCAAGCCCGGCAGTCGCGCTTGCGACCACTCGGCCAACGAGGCAATATCAAAATATCACATAATTTAATAATAATAATATGGACGCCCTAAGCATCTAAGCACAATTGCAGACCAAACAGAGTGGGTAAATGAAAACTAACTTATCATTATTCTCCAATTTCGCAGTTGCCTGATCTAAATACTGCAATATATCGTTTCTTTCATTGATGGCAGCTAACTGTTGTGCGGTGTGACCATTTACGTCTATGGCGAACACATTGGCTCCGAAGTTGATGAGGAAGGTGACGCATTCTTTGTGACCACGCGCGGCTGCCAGGTGGAGGGCAGTGTTACCGAAGTAATCGGCTTTGTCTGGATCCCCTCTAGTAACAATAAATGAGTAAGGGTAATACAGTATAAATAAAATCTGAACAATGTTAATAAACAAAATAGTGTGAACAATTGCTCGTTCTTCTCCATTCAAATCTACTTTTGGAATGAGCACCTAGCTTCACCTAGCTTCATTGACGGACTGACTGACAGACTATTATTTCTTTTGTATTTGTAAACGTTTCAAAAGTACCAAAATATAGTTTAATTAAATTAAATGCTTTGACTTTGACTTTGAATTGATCAGAATATATGATTTTAACTCAGATATGGAAAAAAGTGGTTAAATTAAGTCTTGTGATTGAATAACACGTTTGTATCCTTACCCTCTTGCGCACAAAAGCTTGAGTGCCTCGATATGTCCCTCGAAGGCAGCCCAGAGTGTGGGCGTCATGCCAGACTCATCTTTATTGTTGCACTCATTACTGTTTGCTTCTTGCAACAACTTCAGAATACCATCTTTGGCCGCTCTGAAAAAAAAAATTATAACGTAATAAATTAATTGAGGCAATAGGAGAATATTTTGTTAATTGCCTTCATTGTGGAGGAAAAAAAACCCATACTAGCTATTTCCTTACCTACGACCACTTTCTTTGTCTTTAAGTATCTAATGATTTTTTTATCAATGTCAGAACAGAAACAACTGTTCCATGTCATACATTCCATATTGGTATTTGTGTTAATTACCTATTATGACATGCCTAGAGCTACTTTATCAAATTAATACCTTTTTAAAATTCAAAATGGTTGATTATTTATATTAAACTGTCAAACACCAAGCGGTCACCGGTGACCGCGACCTATTGTTCTTTAATTGTGTCTATAAAACCGGTACTAGACGAGTTAATTAAGTAGTACCTAACTTACTTAACATAACTTATTTAAATTATGTCATTTAAATTATTTTATGCTTTTCTAAAGCAAAGTATTGCCATCGGACCACCACAGATGGGGCCCAATGGGGCTGATGCACGATACGGAGCCGCAGAAACCCTAACGGGTTGCCGAAGCTTCAGTTCGAAGAGTAGAAGAAGGAACGGGGTGGTTTTTAGTCAGTAAGAGTCTGACACTCCCTCTCGCCTAACCCAAGGCGGGAGATGAAATAGGATGATTTCCCCCCCCCCTCAAAAAATAACCAATTAACCAAATTATTACAGTCTTAGCAGATTGAGTGAAAAAAGGAATTCCAAATGCAATTTATAATTTTATTATTGTGCATCCATAATGTTATCGAAATTACCTCAACGTATTTACCAGTATCTTATCAAGATTTCGTTACTTACCTATGGAATCTATCTGTTGTCATTTTTATTGTTTTTCACAACACTTATACACACGACCGCCGACTGGCGATACCACGATACTTTATTTAATACAACACATTTTGAAAATTCATGTTTCGAACCGCGTAATAGATAACGACATCTAGTGATAGAGATACACAATTTATACAGAGCCATCTATTGTTAATTAACAGCGATTTGCGGTCATTATTGTTCAAAAATATTTCATACCCACTTTCCAATGCGCCCGCCTTGAACAGCCATCAGACCACCACGGATGGGGGCCCAATAGGGCTGATGCCGATACGGAGCCACGGAGAACATAAAAGGTTACCGGGGCTCCGGCTCGAAGTGTAAGAGTAGGAACCGGGTGGTTTTTTAGTCAGTAAGACTGCCTCGTTGGCCGAGTGGTCGCAAGTGCGACTGCCGGGCGAGGGGTCTCGGGTTAGATTCCCGGGTCGGGCAAAGTATTACTGGGTTTTTAAAAAAAATCTCAGTAGTAGCACGGAGTCTGGAAATGTGCCCGGTATATGGCAATAGGCTCACCCCCTATTACATGGGACTCATAACATAAATAGTGAAAAGTGGGTGTTACCTCTGTGTGCACCTCTGCCTACCCCTTTGGGGATAAAAGGCGTGATGTTATGTTGTTATGTTATGTTAAGAGTGTCCCGCCTCACCCAGGCCGGAGAAGTCATTCGATGATTTTCTCCCCTTAAAAATAAACTCTTATGAACTCCTTACTTACATAGAAACTTTGTCGTGTTTTTGGTACAATTTCATTCAAGAATATTTCCTACCCACTACACGTATTGTGTTCAGGTACATGAACGAAAAATATGTGTATTATTGATGCAACCGAAGTGGAATTGCTTGGATTAAAAAAAAACTTTCATGTTAACACAGGTGTTTTCTTTTTATAATCGATTATCGAAACGGAATTCCGTTTACATGGACGTGGTGCTGAGTGAAGGGGTAGATGGGTCATAATTGGGAATTGAAGTGGTATTACACATTACAGTTTCTGGTAAATATCGACGTCTATGTATTGTTGCATAATAGCATAATAAGTACAAAAAATTAAACACAATAAATCATTCATACAAATGTATATTCAAAAAAACTGTACAAAAATATTTATAATAATTATGGCGATTGGACGTTACACTGGATGGAATGATCTCGAACTTATATCACATTTAAATGAGGCACTAACTCATATTCTATTAAGTACATTTCGTTATATTTTTAAAAAAACCTGAAATAGATATAAGACAAATACTGAAAAAAATGATATAAAACGCGATACATTTTACAAGTCTTTGAAAGAAATAGTGTAAACTTTATAACTATTTTATATAAAAGTAATAAAATGAGTTACAATATATATATAAATTACACAAAATTTTACATAAATCAAGAGCACACTGGAAATCTTAACCTAAAACGTTCTATTTACGAAATAATACCTATTTCGTACTCGTGCAAATTGCTATAAAAACTCTTCAGAAAGTCCTGCTTCACACTGAAAGCTTAAAAGATGTTTTGACTAAATTTATAGATTTATGCTTGGGCGCATGAATATCTAGATAATCTTCTTATCATTTTAAATTAAGCCCTTGTTTTACCACCTTCATATAAGTACCTGATAAAGTTATGTGACAGAAGTGATACAAATTGCAGTCTTCATTTTTTATCATAATGGTACATAGCGGTTTACTATATTTATGTAATAACTATCGTGAGATATACTAAATTAATAATTATGTTTTCCTCGTCAAATATAATTATTTGATGTCAAATATAATTATTAATTACTCACGTAATCGTGAGTAAGCCGAAAAACATAATAATTAATATGGTACATAGTGGCTATCCAGGCCCTTATTGATAGACAATTGTCGCTAACCTAACCTAACGGGTTACCGGGGCTCCGGCTCGACGTGCAGGAGAAGGAACGGGGTGGTTTTTAGTCAGTAAGAGTCTCACACTCCCTCCCGCCTCACCCAGGCGGGAGCAGTCATTCGATGATTTCCCACTTAAGAAAAAAAAATGATAGACTTATTTTCCCAAAGGACCAAAATGATTTGGGATCAATATAGAAAATTGGCCTGGAAGTTTAAGACGCCCGCTTCTCATGCATGAGCGAGCGGGTTCGGAACCGACCAACGGCAAGTACCAATGTGATATTTTCCGAGTTATATGTACTTTCTAAGATTAATTGGACACCACTGACAAACGGTGAAGGAAAACATCGTGAGGAAACCTGGACTTATAATTTCTAATTATAAGTTTGAAATCGCCAGCCCGCATTGAGCAAGTGTGGTGGTTAATGCTCAAACATTCTCCATGTAAGAAGAGGCTTTACTCAGCAGTGGGCATTTATAGGTCGATGTTGATGATGAACAGAAAATTACAAAGGAAAAAACGTATAATATGTGCACGATTATGTGTCTATGTGTGAAGTATCTTAATTACATAAAAATTGAGCACAAACATACGACTTTTTGTACCATTATTTTCGACTTATGGTCGAAGTGAGTTGTGAAGTAAAGCCCAGTAGGCGTCATCGTATCAAATATGAAATCATAATTTTTTCTTTTTTATTTCTTAAATATTTTATGATACAAGTATTTTATTAATTGGTAATGTATGTCGTCTAAAAAGCCATTTAGTTACCTTTAAAATGAGAGCATTTTCTTATAAAATGAACATTTTTTTAATGTTATGGAGGGTTGTATAAAATAACGCTAGTGACTTCGTTTCTTGGCTCTGAAGTGCATTTAAAAATAAGTTATTGTATAATTGTCTACTAAAAGAGTTGTTTCCATTCTTACTTACGTTATAAAACCAAACATTTTACTAACATTGAATCAAAATATGCCCAATTTCATTAAAATGGCAAGTAAAAATTCAAACACTGATTTTACAGGACCAAACTCATCAGTGGCGCCACCTTGCATTGGCAAAAACGATATTTGAAACAACGAAAAAATTGCACCAGTTTATAAAGCCGTGTCTATAATAGGTCCAGGGTGTGATAGGGCCTGTTTCCTTTCTTGGATTGCAGTCACCAGTTTCCTGTAAGGTCCTAGAGGGAGACCTAGGGACTTCAGGTCACTTTCCGTGAGTATCATGAGAGCATCAAGGTCTATTTGTTCGTCTTTGAACTTCTGCACGTATTGGGAGAGGCCGAACGCTGCTAGGAACCGCTCGAGAGAGGCGTAACCTGATTCTTCAGCTTCGGCTTCTTCATCTGATGTGATGGTTGAGCTCTCTGCGAAGAAAATTGGACTTTATTGAATAATTCATAATAGTTATCGAACATATCTTGCCTGTTAGACATTAAGTGTGGGAGAGCCATGCTTCGGCACGAATAGGCCGGCCCGACCGGAGTGATACTACGGCCTTACAGAAAACCGACGTGAAATAAGGCTTGCGTTATATTTCGTATGGGTGCGGATGCCGGAGGCCCAAATAGCTATCCTCCACTGATTCCCAATAATCCTAAAATTCAAATCTCCAAAAGGCGAGACACGAACTTGTAACTCCTCTGGTGTTCCTGATGAGTAGGATTTTTACCTCACTAAAACCTCCCCGGTGGCCACCATCTGCACCTGAAGGAGGCACCGGGTCCTCTTAGTAGACCAACCCCGGAGCCCCCACAGTGCAACGCCTGTTACGGCACCTCCCTATGGAGACCTATGTGTCTACCTAGAGCCTCACTGTACAGTGGACGGCGGCACGTGACCACTGTGGCGCCGTCATCCTTGAGGGCATTATGCCCGACTAGATTCCCCACTCTATGCGCCCATGACCCCAATGGAATAGGTAATTAGCTAGTCTCTCACCATTGGACGAACATTTGACAGCTGCTGTGATTAGACAAAAACTCTTTCCTACATTTGCATCATTTGGTGTGCAAAAAAAAAACGGTACCCCCATTACTTTAACTGTATGTATGTATATTGTATTGTACTCGTGTGTAGGTATATATATTATTATTATATTTATTTATTCTTGTATCTGAAATATGTTAGTATAATCTTCTATTTTCTCAATTAACTCGTCGAGTACCGTGATTATAGACACAATTATAGAACAATAGGTTGCGGTCACCGGTGACCGCTTGGTGCTTGACAGTTTACATCGTTGCTTGCTTCTTGCTCCTACCATTCACTCTTCTCTGCATCACGCAAAGGTCAGACTGGGAGAAAATGCCTGCGGCATTAAGTCCACCTTGTGTACACTTGTGCATGAAGTGTTAATAAATAAATAAATAAAATTACTTTAACTAAGGTATACCTGACTGTGCTGAAGTCCACTCAGCTGGTTGGTACGCGTGTCTAGCAGCCAGTGAGCCGGCAGAGCCAATGGACAGGTCCTCGCCAGGCGCTCCAGTGCCAAACGTACTCAGCGTCGCCGTTATTGAACGTCTGAAATACATCGATTGCATTGGAAGTTTAAACTGTAAATGGTAATAAAAGTACTATTTTTAAAGACTATTTTTTTATAAGTTTTTGATCTAGAATCTTGGATGTTGTAAACTTTTTGCAAACATGCTATGGATGTATTGGACTTTGTTTTTCATACTACGTATATAAATAAAAAAAAAACATAATACGGTAGTTATTAAAGAGGTAGATTAAGGTGACCTACTGACTTACTTATGGCTAAAATGAATAAATAATCAATGTTAATCCAAAGTCTCTGGATTAAGTTGCTATCAAAAACTTAAAGAGATCCAGATTTCCGACTACCGAGTCTCCAAGCGGTCACCGGTAACCGCTCTCCACTTATTCCATTTTAGACTTTATTATTACCGTTGTTTAGAGACTACTTTCGTATGAACAAATGTTGTGGATTTTTCATTCAAGTGATTAAAATCGGGAATTCATTTTGTCTGTTAGTGCCTTTTCATACGTGCCGGTTGCTAGGTACCTGGCGGTGCAGTGTATGGCCATGTACTGTAGCGCTTACACGTACCGGCAAAATTTGTATATAACAACCGTATAATTTGTATACACTGCGCCGCCGGGTAACCAGCACCGGCTATCTGGCAACCGGAACGTGTGAAAAGGCACTTACAGTACATTTACATACAGTCGACTCTCGTTAAATCGAAACATGATCCCTCTTTCTGAATGTTCGAAATACGGAGTAAAAATTTTAACTTGCCTCAAAGTTTAAGTTCCTACCTCTGCAAGCTGCAAGTTCTGATATCTTTCTGACTTCTATTTTAACTTTTTTTCTTTTATAAAAAACTTTGCCTCACACTAGGATTATTTCCCGTGTCGTGGGTGCGTTTACAAACATACAAGTTCACATTACACATGACACCCAGACCCGAAACAATAATTTGTGGATCACACAAAGTATTGTTCCGTGTGGGAATCGAACCGGCAGCCGGTTGCCCAGCCACCACACCAACCATGCAGATTTTTACTTTAATCCAAGTTAGTACCAACATGATTTTACCTGAAAGCCACGCTGCCAAACCCAGGCCTCTCGAATATACTGGCTGGCTCCTGCAACATCACCTCTTGTCCAATGCCACTGTCTTCGTTCAGCAACGCAAAGTCTGGCTGACTTGCAGACCTGGAATGAGTTTGTTATAGGTTAGGTTCTGATCACAACGCTCATTTGATGGTTTCAATTCCAAGTTGAGATTTTTGGAACTTGATAGCATTAAATGCTAAAAAGACTTCTCATCATATATCAACCACTAAGGTAGATTAGAATTTAGAAGTGTAAAAATAACATTAAAAAAAAACAGCAGCAAAAAGTACTACTGAGAAAGAAAGAAAGAGCATTTATTCAGCACCAGGCACGATGCAGCATAAATAAAATATAAAAAAGACAATAAAGGTGTGACAGTAGAATTAATAAAAACATTGAGATGAAAAATTAAAACAGAAGAATTAGAAGAGAGACGCTGACAACATGCCTATGCTAAAAGGGTCACCCACTCAGTGTAAGCCAGGCATACAAGTCACCCAGCACTGATTTTCAGTGGGCACCCATGTAGTGACGCACGGATGGTAACAACGTTGAATGGTTAGACAAAGATACAAAAATAATATAATATATACACTACCGGTGATACTACTGTATTACTTTCATATTATAACTTTCCTGAGACATATTATCTATTATGTTTTTCAGCTTGCTCAGTAGCTCAGTAGCAGCGCGACAGTTGCTGCGTGCGTGCGTTGCGTGTCGCGGAATGCTACTCATGAACATGAGCCTCTAGCATGGCTTGAAACTAGTCGAGATCCTCGTCAAATAATTACGCGAGTAAGCCGAAAAACATAATTATTAATATGTATTATTTACTTCTAAGGTATATTTTAGTCATTAGAAAATAAATTATTGTAGCTTTCGTGAGACATACTAAATAAAATATTATGTTTTCGGCTTACTCCCGTAGTAATTTGAGGAGGAACTCGACTAGTTTCAAGCCATGCTAGAAGCTCATATTCCTGAGCAGCATTCCGCCCATTCTCATTGGCGCCCCTAATTTTCTTGGGTGCTGCCGCCACTATATAGGCAGTCGGGCACGCATCATGTGGAGCTCAACTCTCAATTCTCTATAACCCGGCGCGCCTTAGGCTTGTCTAATTTGCTTTAGGGATAATCATAATACGGCTGCCTCTTTGGCCGAGTGGTCGTAAGTGCGACTGCCGGGCAAGGGGTCTCGGGTTCGATTCCCGGGTCGGGCAAAGTATTACTGGGTTTTTAAATATTCTCAGTAGTAGCACGGAGTCTGGAATTGTGCCCGGTATATGGCAATAGGCTCACCCCCTATTACATGGGACTCATAACATAAATATTGAAAAGTGGGTGTTACATTGCACAGTGGTATAATGTGCACCTCTGCCTACCCTTTCGGGGATAAAAGGCGTGATGTTATGTTTATGTAAACACAAACGTTTATAACACGGCTCTTTATAAACTAACCTAATCATTTGTCATTCATTTTCATTACTGATTAAGTATAGTTTCGTCAAGCATCCCATAGTCATTCCCATCCACAAAGGGATTCTGTCAATAATTATCGACCAATTTCGCTTCTTCCATCTTTGTCCAAGATATTAGAAAGGATCTTAAATAAGAGGCTCATTAACTATTTAGAAAGGAAAAAAAATCTTATCAGATAACCAATTCGGATTTCGGCCTGGTAAATCGACCGACGATGCATTACATACATTTGTGAACCTAGTTGCAACTAAAATGGACAAGAAGCAAAAGTGTATCACTCTCTTCCTGGACTTAGCAAAGGCCTTTGACACAGTCTCTCATGACAAACTGCTGGCGAAGCTTGAGAGCATGGGCATAAGGGGAAACGAACTTGGTTTATTTAAGAGCTACCTGAAAAATCGAACTCAAAAAGTGAGAATAGGAAATACAGTGAGCGAGGCATATAACGTTAAATTTGGCGTGCCACAAGGCAGTATATTGGGTCCGACTCTTTTTCTGGTCTATATCAACAGTCTGTGTCAACTAAATCTAGCGAACTGCAAAATTATCTCGTATGCTGATGACACAACCCTTACCTTTTATGGAAACACATGGGAGGAAGTGTTTGAATACGCCCAAGAGGGCTTTAATAAGGTCTGTCTGCACCTGGCCTCAGACTTATTGACCTTAAATGCCTCTAAGACCTGCTTTCTAGCCTTTTCACTGAGTAATTTGGACACGGTCTCACACACAATACAATTTCACTCGTGCTCACAACAATTTAGTACAACCTGTAATTGTCCACATATCAATAAAACTAAAACTGTGAAATACCTAGGCATAACCATCGATGACAAGCTAAGTTTTAAGGAACATATAAAAAATGTCTCCAACAGAATTCGAAAGTTATCATATGTCTTCAAAAATCTTAGACACGTTGCGGACTCCAATCTCATTCGAATGGTGTACCTGGCGCTCTGTCAATCCGTCATAACTTACTGCATTTCATCATGGGGAGGAGCCGCCAAAACCCACTTGCTCGTATTGGAAAGAGCTCAAAGGCTTTTACTTAAAATTATTTTTTTCAAACCGCAAATTTTCCCAACAACCAAACTTTATGAGCAGGCGGAAGTCCTAACCGTACGACAATTATTCATATTAGCTGTAATCCGAAGACAACATGCTGAAATAAAATATAACCCAAAAAATCCAATTCTGAAAACACGACGCAACTATCAAATCTGTCCAAAAAACCCAGCTAGAACAGCCTTCAGCCAGTCTTTCTTCTTCTTTCAAGGCCCTCATCTGTATAACATCATAAACAAAAAACTGTCCCTGTACCCAGTCACAAGAAAAATGTGTAAAGAAAAAGTAACAAAATGGCTTCAAACGCTTACTTACGAAGACACTGAAAAATTAATAACCACTCACAAAGGTATATAGTTCATACACACGCAGGCACGAACCGCGTAAACACAAAACACACACACACACACATACATAATCACACACGCATATGCACGCACACACACATACACACACACACACACACACACACACACACACACACACACACACACACACACACACCCACCCTCACACACACACACACACACACACACACATTCAAACATGTTTACAACAACCATAGGTAGACTTGGTTATGGTAATATGTACTTAGGGCATTTCTGTTTTTTATCCAATTTCTTCTTTTTTAATATTTTTATTTTTTTTTATTTTTCGTAAACTCCTAATGTAATTTATTTTTCATTGAATATTAAAACTTATATCAACAGAAACTGGTAAACTAATAAAAAAGACAAACTCAGAGGTTAGAAGGCCAGGAGACCCGTAACACAGGCTCTGCTTAGTACGGGCTCCTGTCTCCCATTAATTGATGAATTAATGAACATTTGTTAAGTTTGTTGTTATGTACTTACCTAAAATATGTTTTTTACCTGTTATGATTTTATATATTATGTAACAATTGGGAGAAAAATAAATAAATAAATAAATAAATAAATAAGTTTAAATACCTGGTAAGTGACTTCTTAGGCACGGTGGGCTCGGGCGGGTGCTCAGCGAACACGTCAGACACGTTGCCTCTCTGCTGCGGCCCGGCGCCGAAGGTACCCACATACATAACTTCTGAATCCCGACGGACTCCATTCAGTGACGTCACTGATCTACGACCTGTCGTCTCGATCTCTCCGACCTAAAGAATAAACAATATTTCTATGTTTTAATGAGCTCTATTCTACCAATCAAGACCTTTCGTTTGCCATTTATAATGGAAGTAATTGTAGTTGTACGTATTGTAAGGTTATCAAGATTAACAGTGTACCAAATATCAGATCTAACCGTCATAAGGGGGCAATGTTAAAAAAAATATATATGTAAATAGTAAATTAGAAAAAAAAACGTAAATACGAGATAACTACAAACATAGACACAATAACTTTAGCACCTGTAAGATCGTAATTTTGGAAAATTAGTATAAATTTAATATAGTTTTAAATACACTTTAGCACATACAAATGTTTATTTAAGTGATAAAAATCTAGATTTTTTACATAAAATAATAATAATAATATTTCACACAGAATATAAAAAAAATACCAGAATTTTCTTCACGTTTCAAGCACTGTGGTGTCGGATAGTGAAACGAATATTGAATGAAATGTATTTTATCTCAGTTTAAAGTACCGTTAACATAACGGTAGTTACAGTTTTGGTGTACTATAGCATAGCATATTGTGTAGTGTCGTTGTAATAAATTAGAGGCTACGCGAATAATGCTTGATCGTGATGTGTGACTTCATTTGAAAAGTAGTTGTGGATTGTGGAACTTACAAGATTGTTTGAATTAGGTTATTTTTAAAAAAAACCATACTGCTCGCGTTGGAATCGTTGATTACTTTTAATTAAAATGTATGTTTTTTCGAGAATTTGTTCTTGATTGTACTGACCATGACTGCCTCGTTGGGCGAGTGGTCGCAAGGGGTCCTTGCCCGGCAGTGGCAAGCGTTGCTTCACGTCGGTTTTCTGTGAGGTCGTGGTATCACTCCGGTCGAGCCGGCCCATTTGTGCCGAAGCATGGCTCTCCCACACTTAATATTAAACTAACGCTCCTATATTAAACTATGCCACAAATGCCAAACAACTTACCTTAAAATCATCAGTATTCACATTATTATTCTTCCCAATAGTGTTGTTCCTCAGCTTGCTAGCGAGTGCCTTCTTGTACACCGCGCCCCGCCCCCTTGCGCCGGAGTTGACAGTGCCTACCAGCGCGCTGTATGTCGGCCGAGGTTGATCGTCCGAGAGGAGGTTGCCTGTAAATATTATTATTATTTTTCGTTTTTTTTCTAAGCTCGACTACCTCTATAGTGCCGGATTTGAGGGTTAGTACGGGCCGCTGCCAAGTGCTAAAACACGGGGACGTCTCAATTTTGGGTTGGGGTGTACGTGTACGAAACTATGTCTTTTGACTGTTTCGTTCGAAAATTTTTGAACAATATGACAGGTATTTAAAATGGCAGCTGATTGGAGGATTCGGTATGTGTATAGAGGTAATTCGAGTGTTTTTATGGATTGATGGAATTGTTTCGAACGAAATATTCCTCCCAAATTCTCATATTTAATTCTGAAAAGGCCGGCAACGTACTTATGCTCCTCTCAACACTCAACACCTCTTGTGTTGCGGTTGGCCATATGCAGCGCTGATTACTTTCCATCTTTTGGACAAGGTTTGCTCGTTGGCTGGCCTATATCATAAAAAACATTCAGACGAATTGAGAACCTCCTTCTTTTGGGAAGTCGGTTAAGAAGTAGATTCGCAGGGCCAAGGCCAGGCCATTATCATAGAGAGTGAGAAAAATTTATGTTTGACGTCGAACCAGCTGTTGGCTGATTTGACGTCAAACATAAATAGTGAAAAATGGATGTTACATTTTACAGTGGTACTTATTAAGTGCCGTAATATGCACCTCTGCCTACTCCTTCGGGGATAAAAGGCGTGATGTCCCATGTTACTTGTTAAGGGAGCAATATATCGCCCTATGCTTTATAAGTTTATAATATTGTACCGATATTACATTACATTTTCACAAACATGTTCATACAATGCAAATGGAGTATGACGAATTTATACGCCATTATAAAAGTATGTGTGACGTATCGTAGATTAGGACAATATTAACGCTATCGGTGCACATTATCAGTGATATTAATACAAGGGGAAATGGGACGGCGTTTAATGACACTTTATCAGGGATTTTCGTGTCATGATACTAGAAAATGTATAATTTGGTACCTATTGTTACTTCGTTATATCCCGGATGAAACTTTGCATACTAATACTTGCAATACTTTCGCCTTACTTATAAATGCGAATACATGAGTTTGTGTTTGTTACTCAGTCATATGAAAATGGCTGAAGGGATTGTGATAAGATTTGGAACAGAGGTACACTATGATCTGAAGTAACACATATAATACACATTTGTTTATAGTATAAGCCGGTAATCGAGTTGACGGATCACCTGATGGTAAGCAATCGGCGTCGCCCATGGACACCTGGAACACTAGAGGCGTTACAAGTGTGTTACCGGCCTTTTGGGGATTAGGAGTTTAAGGATCGTTGGGGATTCAGAGATTGGGGTGATTGGGGAAGGGGAGGGTAATTGGGCTTCCCGTAACCTCACTCTCACGACGAAACACAACGCAAGAAAAAATTATCCATAACAATCACCAAGAACTTCACTTAGACATGTTTCTGTGAGGCAATGGCATCATGTCGGTCGAGCCGAGCATAATACCTCTTCATTTTTTTGAATACAAATGAATTAGTTGGTAGTAGAAAATAAGTGTATTATTTGTACACCGATTCGGTAGAATGTATGAGACATTAATTAAAACACCTATTGTAACTACATTCTGACAAATATATTTTTCATTCTTTTCTTTCTTGGCGTTTGGCCACTATCTCGCCTGGTGGTAAACGATGATGAAGCAACCTAGTAGACCTATTCACTCGGGCATTGAAGACTTCGAGCTTACCCTTCGGGAAAACACAGACTGGTAAAGATTTACAATCCTTAGAGGTTAGCAAAAGGAAAGTTAAAGCTAAGCGCGTCGGGCGAGTGGGTAGAATATCCACCATGAGGTGGTGGCGCTTTGCCGATTGTCTTATGATACGATGGTGGAATGGAGTGTGTTACTTCTACGTTTTGTGCAGCTTAAATTCCCATTGGGTATAAAAACCTCCTTACCATGGCTAGTAGACCTGGTCATCTTCTGCTTCAGCGCCCAAAGCACGTTGCTGGGCCTATGTGGCATGGTGTGGACCTCCTCAGCATACCCCTGGTCCCACTCCTTGGCCAGCTTCTTTAGCTCCTTCTCAGCCATTAGCTCGGCCTTACTCTGCCGTTTCTGGTACTGTTTGTGGGATTTCTCATAGTCTTTCTTTGCTTTCTCTTTTAGAGATTTAGCCTTTTTCCTGGAATTAGGAATTATTGTTAATTAGTGATGCTTTCGGTTTTTAGTTGATGGATTAAAGATAATCTGGCGAACATAATGAATTGGATTATATCCTAAATAAGTCCAGTTTTCGTCCATATGCAGGTTATCTACTATTAGACGCTAAAATGGTATTAGATTGATGTTGATGAAGCGAATAAGGTATGTAGGAATCGTAGTAACTGGGATGATGACAGGGTATAAAAATTAAAAATATAATTAGTCCGTAAGTAAGGTAATGAAAAAATATTAGACACGTATTTTTTTATTTTGTCGTATACCTAATAAGATAAACCGAATCAAAGTTTAGGAGTGGGCGCTGATACGTCATTTCTACGTATAAAATGTACATAGAAGTGACGTCACGCGATATTTCAAATCAATATATCGTCGAAAGTAATCGTTTCTGTAAGAAAATAAAAAATACGTGTCTAATGATTTAAAATAATCTACCAGACGGACATTAAAATAAAAATTAGGCGTCTACCCTAGCCATTCCATAGCCTACTGAGAGACAGACGTGAAGTTACGTATGTATGTGATGGTACTAATAACACACAATATACTGTTCACCTAATGCCATGTCTATAGATGTGGGTGTCAGTACTAACTTCACACATACACATAATGCATATAGGCTGTTTTAAATGCCCACTGCAGTGCAAAGAAAAGTCTCACACGGAGAAGGTTTGAGCCTTAGTCACCACTGCTGTTCAAGGTGGATTGGCGATTACAATAATTTATATAAAAGTCAGTAAGTCATGTTCCTTTCCCTTCGAGAATTAACAAGCCCAGCAGCTGTAGCCAAATGCCATTTAGTGCTTGTCTACATGTAGGTAGAATAGAAAACCAAATTATATGGAATTGACGTAAATTTTGACCATACATTTAGTTTTCTACTCTCTTTGTAGACAAGCGCAAAAGTGGCGTTTGGCTAAAGGTACAGTGCTCTGTAATATCTACCTAGACAATCTGTATAGACAACTACACCGTAAGTAGACTCAATGTATTACAGAACAGTAATTAAAAGTAACAAAATAAATCATTACATGTTACCTAACAACGAATTAACATTGCATAACCCTTTACGTGTTTCAATGAATATTTTTGCTCAATTTCATCCATTCCAGATGCAATGGGATAATGATGGGAACTATGTATTATACAACATCGTGTATCACTTATTATAACATGCGCTTTAAACAAAGTACGAGTACTTTAGTTGTTATGTGGTAAACATTAAGAAAATTAACATGTTTTTTGGAAAGTTAATGACTTATTATGTCACTGTCTAACAGCCCTTTAAATTGCTACTAATAATAAATGAGTAGCACTTTTGTAATATGGTTATAATTTGTTATGTTATGTGATAGTCAAGAACAGATACATCTACTATGTCTTATCAGCTGTTGCCCGTCACTTCTTCCGCGTAGAATATGATTCTTGTTTTATCCCAGCATTTGATCGGGATAAAAAAGCCTATCCTATCACCCAAGTCAGTCTATACCCTGCCTGTCTACCAAGTTTCATCAAAATCCGTTTAGTAGTTTTAATGCTTGACGGACAAACATTCAAACAAAGACAGTTCTATAATATTAGTGTAATATTGTGGTGTTATACGTATAACATCCACATAAGTGATTATAATGAGAAACGGCTTTCTTTAAGAGAGGAAAATCATCCAATGACTTCTCCCAACTTAGTGAGGCAAATGGGAGTGGTAGACTCTTACCGAGTCGCGGAGAACCTAACGGGTAACCGGGGCTCCGGCTCGACGTGCAGGAGAAGGAACGGGTGGTTTTTAGTCAGTAAGAGTCTGACACTCCCTTCCGCCTCACCCAGGTGGGAGCAGTCATTCGATGATTTTCCCCCCTTAAAAAAAAAAGACTCTTACTGACTAAAAACTACCTCGTCCCTATTTCTGCTTCAAGTCAGACCCCGGTAACCCGCTAGGTGGTCTGCAGTTTTCTTGTCGCTCAACGACCCTAATGTAGGCACCTGTCAGGTGGTCTGATGGCACAATGAGATGAACGCGTAACACGACGCACCTTAAGCTCGGGTCAGGCAACGAGTGACCCTTGCTCACCATAATGATAAAAGGCGTAAATACATAAGCAACTTACTTATCATGGTTCTCCAATTTCGCAGTTGCCTGGTCTAAAAACCGCAGTATATCGTTTCGTTCATTGATAGCTGCTAACTCTTGTGCGGTGTGACCATCCACGTCCATGGCAAACACATTGGCTCCGAAGTTGATGAGGAAGGTGACGCATTCTTTGTGACCACGCGCGGCTGCGAGGTGGAGGGCTGTGTTACCGAAGTAATCGGCTTTGTCTGGATCTCCGCTGGAAAGATAAAAGATGGTAAGGTTAAGAAGAGTTAGAACAACGCCTGTATAATGATTATAAACAAAATTGTGTGAACAGTTAATGTGAATATGATAAGGCCATCAAAAATTTAAGAAGTAAGTACTTCTCTTCTATCCACATTTTTTAAACTTTAGGGCTGAAGGGATTTTACTATTATATAAAGCGGAAGAGTTTGTTTTTTTGTTTGTTTGTTTGAACGCGCTAATCTCCGTAACTACAAGTCTGATTTGAATAATTCTTTTTGTGTTGGATAGCGCATTTATCGAGGATGGCTATAGGCTATAAAACATCACGCTACGACCAATGGGAGCTGAGCAGAACATGTGAAACCACACGGAAGTAGCTAGTACAAGATAATGCTAAAAGAATTTCAGACTGGGGCTCCGGCTCGTAGTGCAGCAGTAGGAACGGGGTGGTTTTTAGTCAGTAAGAGTCTGACAGTGACACTCCCTTTCGCCTCACCCGAGCGATAGAAGACGTTCGATGATTTCGCCCCATAAAAATTCCATCTCTTCTGACTGATGGATCTGTCGAACTAAGTTTAGATAACTGTCTCTGCACAATACATATTCAATGCTACAATTCAAACATTAACTAAAAATTGCAGCATAAAATAATCTGTGTTCCAAAGGGGTCACGGTCCTAATCACATATGGTTATGGATTTTGGAAATCAATTTCATCATACTACACCACAACGGATATAATAGTTAGAAAATGTATCATTGTCGAATTGCTGAGAGTTACATACGAATGAACCATAATTGCACCACAAAATTATTTAGATGAAGTGAAAGTACCACGTGTTTCGTGGTTCAATGATTATGTATGTTTAAGTATCACGTATATATATATTATTGCCAGCAGAAGTAAAACATTTTAATTTGAACCTTACTTACTTCTTATATATATAAAAACTAGCTTTTACCCGCGGCTTCGCTCGCGCCACATAAGAATAAAAAATAGCCTATGTGACATATACCAATACACACAGCGCCATCTATACCAATACTTTTGTTTTTCCTCGGGAATATCAATTTTTTCTGGGTTAAAAAGTACCCTATTATTTAATCCGGACTTCTAACTTTACGTCGGCAAAAATTCAAAGCAATCGGTTGAGTAGTTACCGCGTGAAGGTGGAACAAACAAACAAACAAACTCACTTTTAGATTTACAATATTAGTAAGGAAGTAAGAATGAATCGCTTTTCCCTTGGTCACGGCATCACGCGTGAACGGCGGAACCGATTTCACTAATTCTTTTTTTGTTGTATTTGTTATTATTAGGAGAAGGTTCTTAAGATAGAAAAAATCCTGAAAATACTACGGGAACGGGTGAAAACGGGATTGCGCGTACAAAGTCGCGGGCCGAAGTTAGTTATAGTATAAATGCGAAAGTCTGTGAGTTTGTGTGTGTTTGTTACTTCAAAACGGCTAAAGGGATAGAGATGAAATTTGGAGCAATGGTAGATTATGGTACGGAAAAACACAACAACTTTTTATCCTATAGGAACGCGGGAAGTGTGGGAGAGCCATGCTTCGGCAATCAACACGAATGGGCCGGTTCGACCGGAGTGATACCACGGCGTCACAGAAAACCGACGTGAAACAAAGCTTACGTTGTGTTTCGGCGTGTGAGTGAGGTTACCGGACGGCCAATTGCCATTCGTTGTCATTTTGAACTTTTGAAGTGTGCTGGTCGTTATTGGTCGAGATTATTTTTACAACCAATGATATGATGGAATGGACCGCGATCAAGTTCACCTCAATGTTTCATATTGGAAGTTGCAGAATAGCCTAGCTGAACGTTTAAGGATCAATTTCCAAGCCGTTTGTACACAATAAACACACCTCTCCCATAGGGTAGGCAGATACTATGGAACGCCGATTGCTACGATTCTTATACATATACCGCCTTCGCTTCCTCTACAGTCATCGGTCTTTTGATCATCGTCGGTTAAGGGTACTTCTAATTAGTCCCTTCTGTAATATATCGCCAATATGAGCGCTTACTCTTGAAACCAATCTCAATGTCAATGCAATAAAATCTCAATAATTAATTCAAATGTCAAAACTACACAACCAATATCGTAGCTCATCATTCAGAGTACGAAATATAAAGCCAAACTCAATACCAGTCTCGCATCTCAAGAGTACGAAATTTCGCAATATCAATGTCGATAGATCGGAATTGGATTTAAGAGGAAGCCCCCTGATCGATATATGTCCGTCTAGTGTCTTTACCGACGGTCCTATTCATATCTGCTCTGTATACTTCTTTTGTAACTCTGCTTTCATGTATTCTGATGTGTAATTAAACACTAACTACCTACTATACCTTCGTGGATGATGCAAGTAATACTTTAAGATTAGCCCATCATATCGTCACAAATTCTTGTAGTTAAAGAAACATAAAAGTATAATCAGATAACTAATCTCCATGATTAAAATACACTTATGAATAAAAGAGGTTGTCTGTCTGATACGAGATTAATTAAGCATTTCAAACCTTGATAAACTCGAGACGATTGTTTATCGATAACTATTTAGGCATAAAATAAATATGGTTACCTAGGAGATATACATACTGAACTTAGTACTAAAGACTTTGGAATCTAATATTATGCAACACACTAAGTTTAAAGGCCTCCTCGATTACAAGATCGGTCATAGGATTTTACGACAAAGGGCTTGTACACATGACTGCAATGCGACGTCGCATCGCAAAAAATGTGCGACCTCCTCTTACGCATCGCAAGAACTTGCGAATTGATTTGTCATCGCGCATCGAAATCTTATCTTCTCAAAACCTTTTTTGATTATTTTTCCTGTATCTCCTATGCAATAACAAAAGGGCACACTTCTTTTTACGATCCTAGTTTTCAATTTAAAATACGTTAAGTACAGTTGACGGTCGTCGAAGGAATGGTCATCCTGGGAGACGCCTTGTCGCATGCAATCGCATCGCAGCAATTTGTTTCGTAATTTTCTGCGTTGCGAATTCGCATCGCATCGCATCGCGGTTTTGCGCATGAGCCCTAAAGGCCTTCTTCTATTTCAAGATCGGTAATACGATTTTACGACAAAGTCCGTCTAAGTAGGGATGCGAACTGTCAATTCATCAGATTTGAACCGGAGTCTCTCCTTTATAAGATTAACTAGGCATTTTTTTAAGGGGGAAAATCATCGAATGGCTACTCCCGCCTGGGTGAGGTAGGCGGGAGGGAGTGTCAGACTCTTACTGACTAAAAACCACCCCGTTCCTACTCCTGCCCTTCGAGCCGGAGCCCCGACAAACCTACATGGTTTGAAGTTAAAGTAAGAGGTAAGAAGTTAAAGATGAAGAAATAATAGAGACATGCTTAATAATGATCATAAGTTGTCATTTTATATGATGCGCAGTGTATTAAAACAGAAATTTGTTTGCAGTAAATGCATATTCCTTGGTAATTGCGCTCGATTCGAAAAGGACAAAAACCAGATACAGTTATTTTACTGTTACTGTCCTCTATACGTGGTGTACTAAACTATTCATGTGGACATTCAGACACGTATTGTGGGACAACATAGCTAACCGAGTCGGATTTAAACATAATTAGCCTAAAATTACTATTAAACGTGTTGATGCGAGGCTTAGATAAGATGTATTAATATATTTGTGTATCAAGTAACTAAATGTCAGTTTCCTTATGAGGTAAGGTTCCATATAAACTCACTCTTACCTAACTTTTTGTTTATAGCATAAGCCGGTAAACGAGCAGCGGATCATCTGATGGTAAGCAATTGGCGCCGCCCATGGACACTCGAAACACCAAGGCGTTACAAATGCGTTACCGGCCTTTTGGGAATTAGAGGATTGTGGAGGATTCGGGGATTAGGAACATGGGGACTAGGGAGGGGGGTAATTGGGCCTCCGGTAACCTCACTCACACGACGAAACACAACGCAAGTGTTGTTTCACGTCGGTTATCTGTGAGGCCGTGGTATCACTCCGGTCGAGCCGGCCCATTCGTGCCGAAGCATGGCAAGCAACTTATTTATACCAAATAGTTGTATCGATCAGTTTTGAGAAACACTATATGCGAAACACTATATGAGAAACACTGCAAGAAAATATTCTTCACAGCCAATTTTCAAGACAGAAAAACAGAAAAACGGGAAAAAGCCATTAAACGGAATAAAAAATCTAATTTGGATATAATATTTTGCGGGTTCAACCACAATCTTCATGTTCGATACAAACACGTTAACAAATGAGGCAGGCACATAGTAAACGCTACAAAGAATGATTGAGGTCAGTTCTCACCTTCATAACTATGTAATTTTAAGGCTAATGAAGCGATTCTCTTTAATTTTTTTATGTAATATAATCCGTAACATTGTGTAACAACGGTGAACAATGCGTGAAAGTGAGAATGAGTGATACTAATACTAGTTACATTGTTCTCAGGGCAAGCTTCGGATTACAACCTAATAAAACTCGTACAAGGAAAGATAATTGTTTTAAAAGTAAGAGTGCTAAGCAATAGGGTAGATGACTAATTTTTATTTTAATGCCCGCCTGGTATATTATTTAAAAACGTTAGACACGTATTTTTTATTTACTTACGGAAACGAATAGTTCCGAAGATAATATATTGATTTGAAATATCGCATGACGTGACTTTTGAGTACGATTTATACTCTAAAATGTAGATATCTCCCACTCCTAAAGTTTGTTTCGTTTTTATGATCTAAGTAGGCGTTGGACCGTGGGGGTTCCGGAGCAGGTTTCTTCAGAGGACCCGGTGCCCCTTATAGGTGCTGAGGGTGGCCACCGTGCTAGGCGTCTTTTGAAGGTTCCCCCCGTCATAAAAAAGGTTAACTATAAACCACGTATCGAATCGATGATGACTAACAACTTTTAAAATTAACGCTACAAAATCCAGAGCTAATTTGGCAATAAAAATATTAAGCATAATATGCAATAAAATAATTAATACTTTAAATAAGCCGGCCCATTAGTTACTGTTGTAAATTATAGTTTTATCTATGTACACGAATAAAAACACGTTTAATTGAATTATTGCCTTCGACGCTGAATCTAGAAAAATATTTTTATAAAATGGCTTAATATTTTTGTTAGGAAGGTACAAATACTGAGAGGATGATACCCAAAAAGTGGTTCTGGGGTCATCGGGGTCCAGATGTGATGTGCAATAGGTATATCAAATATCTTTGTCTTAACTGCGCCTAGGATTATGTACCAACCTATACATACATATACGAGAAAAACTTTACCAATGGTTATTAAAGATTGGATTGGAAACAAAAAGAAAAAATAATTCACTTTTCTGTGATTAAAAAACATGCAATTTTAGTATAACAATAGGCGTTGAGTCTGTAATGTACCTAATATTTATCAATATCTTTTCACTTTACTAAAAGTTTTGTTTGACTGTTCCAAAGTAGCGTATAGATTTTTTATGGGATAAGCCGGGTAACGAACAGACGAATCACCTGATGGTAAACAATCGGCGTCGCCCATGGACACATGGAGCACCAGAACAAGTGCGTTACCAGCCTTTTGGGGATTAGGAATTTGATGATAGTTGGGGGTTTAGGGATTGGAGACATTAGGGAAGGGGGGAGGGGGGTTATTGGGTTTTCGGTAACCTCACTCACACGACGAAACACAACGCAAGCATTGTTTCACGTCGGTTTTCCGTGAGGCCGTGGTAACACTCCGGTCCCACATTTAAACATCTAAAAAGTTTGTTTCTAGTGACTACCGGCTACATTCCTAACTCTAACAGTTACAATGCTTACCCTCTTCCACACAAAAGTCGGAGTGCCTCGATATGTCCCTCGAAGGCAGCCCAGAGTGTGGGCGTCATGCCAGACTCATCTTTATTGTTGCATTCCTTGCGAGTCGCCTCTCGCAACACCTCCAGCAAACCATCTTTGGCCGCTCTGAAAAATAAATAGATATAATTTAATACTTTTTGTCAATTAAGTACCAAGTCAGTTGTATTGTTTTGATCACTTTTTATGGCATAGGATAAACGAGCAGTTGGATCATCTGATTGTTAGCAATCAGTGTCGTCCTTGAACACCCGGTACTCCAGATGTTAGAAATGCATTTGTCACGTTTGGTTGAAAACAATGCAAGGTAGGACTGATGACGGGAGTCCACCTGGATCATTATCCAGATGGATTCCATCATCCTATAATAGGTAAACCTAAGTACTTGCTCATAATCATTACACTAGCAAAGATCATATAAACTAGGCCAAGAAGGGAAGAAGTTAATTCGTAATAAACTAGTGATGAACAATGATCAACAATGAACTAGTGATCAACAAACTAGGGAATATTTGTTAATTAACTAGTTATCTAGACCTTAAAGAAATAAGTCTAGTTGTTAGTAAACTATCTTGTTGTTAGTAGTACCTAGTATTATGGTACTATCACATTCTTTATGTCTTTAAGTAAAGGTATTTTTATCGTTAATCTAACGCTCGAATAGTGAAAGGCTAATCAATTTTAAGTTACTTAAATATCGTGCCATCTCTGTCATGATACAAAGAATTTGCAGTGACAGACCATACTTAAGCGCGACTTAAAATTTAGTACCTAGCCTTTTAGTATCCGAATACTTACGAATACGCCGGAGCGTACGTCAGAGGCCTTAGTACGGGGTTTTTTTACGTATAAAGTATTCAAAACGAGTACGCGTTCGGCACTCTGGTTGGCCGGCGCCAATGAAGCAACCAATCAGAGCGCCGAATGCGTACTCGGTACGATTACTTTAAACGTAAAACAAACTCGTATGACGGCCTTATTACAGGTTTTTGTTTTAATTATTGTGACGTAGAGTAAATTTATCAAACAAATACATTTTTTTAAATGCCCAAGTAAGATACGGTATCGGTTCCATCAGGGGTATGAAAAATTGTTGATAAGATTATTGATAAATACTATTAAGTAGTAAGTAATATAATTTAATCCCAATGTTTGACGGTAATCTTTTTTTGCAAATGATAACTCGGCTAATAGACGTGACGTAATAAGAACCTCCTTCTTTTTAAGTTGGTTACAATACTGCTTGTGAGTGTTTTTATTGGAATTTCTATACGCTTCGTTGACAGTCTGTTTTTTTTAAATCTCTTTAATAGCACGGAGTCTGGAATTGTGCCCGGTATATGGCAATAGGCTCACCTCCTATTACATGGGACTCATAACATAAATAGTGAAAAGTGGGTGTTACATTGTACAGTGGCATAATGTGCACCTCTGCCTGCCCCAACGGGATAAAAGGCGTGATGTTATGTTATGTTATGTTGAACAACCAGTAGTTGTTCAAATTATAAATAAATAAATACATATGTAAGGCAGAATTCGGCCGGCTTCGCTTGAAATTTCGCCGATTCTTGTTGTGGGACATTTTTTCTCTAGTGCATCCTTCGCTTAAGAAAGTAATTGCTATCAATACAATAACTTTGAGAGGTTCCAGTTCCAGTAGTTAAAAGAATACGTATCGAGGGACAATTTCTGAAAGAGTAGAGACCACGGAGAAATCTATTGAAACCCAATTGGTCCCTTTTAAGGTCAAATGAGGTGGTTAAAACAAAATTAGTTTTATTATTGTTTCACTTTATACAGTCAAAAGTTGACGCCACGTCACTCATGTCAGTGACCTTTCCTGACATGGTACTCATAGTGATACGTCACCCAGCAACCTAACACCTGCATGTCATGTCACCCAAAATCGATAACATGATAACGACAACTTAGCATGACATTTTGACCCTTAGTACACAAATAATAAGTGTTAGAATAGGGGCGGATGTTTTTAGCAATACGGGATACCCTCGACAGTGGTGCCCAAGCAAGCGTGAAGGTGCAGTATGACATACAAATACGTAGGAAGTATGTATTTGTCATAATTCAATGTTCGTCGTAACTACAAAATATTTAAGGCTTTTATTGTTATGGTATTACGTTACGTAATCTTATGGAGCATGTAATGCCGTAATAGTCTTTTAAGAATATTTTTCTATTTTTTAATTCTAACTTTAAGAACTAAACTGAAATGATTTATAGGTAAATAGCATTTAGATCACCTGATCCTGGTGGTACCTACGCGATACAGAGCCGATAATGGACTCCTAGAACATCCGAGGAGGAACAAGTACTGTAGTCCTAAGTTCCTAACCTTTGAATTCCTAATAATAACAGAAAGAAGTAAACTTTACGTAGGTATTATTACGTTTATTGACTGATTGATTAATTAGTGTCTTCTTCACCGAGAACTGTTTTAACTAACTGAAGCTGAGAGGCTGGTACTCGTATGCCCCGTAGTAAATAAGCTGCGGATGTTTAAATCAACATCAAGTCATCAACTGAAAACATTCAGATCTCTGACATCTTTTGCAGATTGTCATTATTCCGATACAAAATCGAATGATTTAAGTTTCTAGTTACTTAGTTAATTTTAAAAGAAATTGTATCGAAATGTCATGCATAGGTATATTACCTATTTTGTCAGATGTTGGGGAAATTCGAACAGTAACAGTGTGGAGAAAAACATCATGAGGAAACCCTGGAAACCAGGACTTAAGTTTGAAGTCACTGATAGTGATACACCTTGAGTAAATCAGTAAATGTGATGATGAATGCTCGTGAAGAAGAAGCAGAAGGCAGAAGCAAGTCTCCAATAACACCCTAGTTATGTTAGTCATAGCATAGCATATAAACTAACAAAGTAGGTACCTACGTTTACTAAAACCTACAAAATCACCACAACAAAAGCCTAAAGTTGCTATCAGACTGTCTACTGTTTCGGAGAAACCCATACAACATATTCCTATTGTATATGTGGGTGATACAACGTGTTCAATGACACTTCCCTGTTCCGTTGTGGTACGTGGAAGTCGGTGGAGGCTCGCAGGCCGCAGGAGACACGGTTGGCTTGTCTCCAATATGTAGTTCAATGTCCCGACTAATTCACCGGGCTTACGGTGACGAATCGCAAACACGAAGCGAAAGCGAATTCACTTTACGTAATTCGTTTTTAAGTACGTACCAAAATAAATATAAATACTGATTTTTGTGTAGAAGATTCTGGAAATAACTTTCGAGTGTTTCGTTCTGGAATCACATCAACGGTTTGTAAGAGGCCACTGTTGACTAAATACCTCTTCTCGCACGGAGGTTTGAGCATTAATCACCACGGTTGCTCAAAGCGGGATGGCGATTTCAAACTTATACGCCTACCTAACAATTGAAATTTTGGAATGCATATGTAGGCTTTAGCAGGCGTATTGGTATTACGGCGGAGAACTCAGAGCTGGTGATATGTTTTCTCAACAGTTAAGTAGGTCCTAGAAGTTTCGAAGCCTTTAGACAAAGGTAGGAAGAGGAGAACATCTACCTACCTACCTATGGAAAGACATGGTGCCTGTTTCACAAATAATTACAGTTAATTTGATTGATAGAGCAGATTCAGATAACGCTCGAATATTGAAGGCTACTCAATTGTAATTTGCAATCAAGTATAAACTAGTTCTGTCACTGCAACCTAAAATAGAGTAGCCTTTCTCTATTCGGGCGTAAGTAAGTCCAACCTCTCTCACAATATTTTTTATTTAGTAATAGTAGGTATCAGGGATTAGTCTTAAGGCCTACTTTCCTATGTAATACGGTGGAATAATAAATGAATTATTAGGGACTAAACTTCTTGATAGATAAGAGGTAATATGTAAGTGCCAAGTGTAAGGCCATATGTGATGGCATTAAATAGGTAGCAGAATTATATGACTTAATGAAATGATTCATTTTGATCTATTTATTGTTCTCGTATTTTTTTATTGAAAGGACTTTTTCTTGTTTACATTTTTTAATTAGCAAATAACATCAGAAATCACTTACTTATTTAGCATTTCAAAAATGTTTAGAAAAGCGTAAAATAATTAAGTAATAAAACAATTCATTTTAGTAATCTTTTCTTTTCATCTTAATTAGCCGGCGTTCTTTAAAACATTCTTATTGGCTCTCGTATTCATAACAATTTTTAATTATGAAACTGATTGCAGATTATGCATATTGCGTAAAGAAGGAATTCTAATTAACTCAGCATGTTTTCTCTTCTTGTAATTTTTAATTGTGCGTCCACTATTATTGAATGTTATCGAAAATACCTCTACGCATTAAGTACCGATAACTTATCAAGATTGCACCAACACCAACCAAAGACAAGATTGTCCAGTTTTTACTTACTTATGAAATCTGTCTGTTGTCATTTTTATAGTTTTTCACGGCACTTTTACCACAACACTTGTACACAACGACCGCACGAAAGTTTGTTCAACTCATTTTAAACAAATTGCCACCGTTTAGAACCGCGAAATTGATAAGCTGAGAAAGTTTACTGTTTTGTCACACTTCACACTTTAGCGAATTAAAATAGTAACTAATTTACAGTTTAAACATAATTTATTAAGTTAAATGCAGTGTAATTATCATAAAAAGCTTTAAAACTTTTATTCAATTAATATTTTGTTAGATCGCTACGTGTTAAAATATAATAATAACAGAAACACCTGTTTCACTCAGGTGAAACATTGACTGTTGTCAAGTCACAGAGGTAACACAAACCTAAACTTCGTCAAACTTTGAACGAATGGTTTTAAATGAATGACATCGAAACATGTACAGCGGACTGAATGATTTTATGATGTACATATTTATTATTAATACTAGCGACATCTAGTCGTAGAAAATTGTAAATAAAAATTACAGCGGCATCTGTTGTCCAATAGCTGCGATTATTCAATTAGTTAGTAATGCTACTTCTCGATAGGTGGCACTACTGACATCCGTTCTCGACTTTTAAAATTTGAATTTGCATTAAGTTTTTTTTAATTACCTATCCTTGAAATCGAGGTCAATAATATCAAATATCAAAGGTACTGCTGCTTTTTTCATTTTTTTTTTCTTTAAAAATCATTGCCCATCACTATGATTTTCTTCCTGTGTCGTTGGGTGCTTATTCTTTACTTAACTTTTCTACTTTAATTCATATTATGGAAATCAACTAACTATAAATACAAATATTTTAACTATATTTAAAATTCTAAAAATAATTTAAAAAATTAAATAAGCGTTACCTATTTTAATTAAAAGCGTTAAATAATTTCTCGATCATTTTCGAAATATTTAGATTTAGGAATAACATTGATATTTAGGAAACATCACAATTATTCTTTTGCCGAGCTTTTTGTTCATTTATCTGTTTATACGAATCTAATTAGCAATTAAATTGATTTATAAATACTTTTAACAATTATATTTGACTTGGCGGTTGTAGATACACTTTTTAAAGTAAATAAAGTTGGTTTCTAGATAGAACTACCTGCCTAAGTACCTAAAGATAATTCTTACTTGAGATGACAATCTTAGAACAAATATGTAGAATGCTTTGGGTTCATAAGCACAATGGATGAAATACGTAAATAAATAAATATTACACCAGACAGATATATCGAACTTTCCTATACAAAATGCATAGACGATAGTCGGATGAGTGAATAGAAAAGTCCTACTTGGGTACTTATGAAATAGACAGTCACAATCTGCAAATTATCAAAATATGTCAAAGTTTAATGTCAATCCCATACAATATTTTTGTTTAGTTTTTTTATTTTAGTAAGTTTTGTAATTAGTATAAGGCGTCAAGCCTGTCTATGCATTGTTCTCACATAAACGTACAGTATTGGAATATGTATCAGAGACATTGTAGAACATACTTTTTTAAAAAGAATAATGAATGTAGTTTCATGCTCGTTCTTCTCCATTAGAATCTACAATTTGGAATGAGCACCTAACTTTACTGACAGACAGAATATTATTTATTTTGTATTTGTTGACGTTTCAAAAGTACCAAAATAAGGTTTACTTAATTGAAATAAATGCTTTGACTTTGACATAACTTTTTAAAATTAGGTATGATAACGCTTATCTCAACACTATTATTCTGAGGGTGGCAAATCAATGAAATTGTGCAATGACTTCTCCCGCCTTGGATGAGGCGAGACGGACTGTCAGACTCTTACTTATTGAGTAAAACCACCCCGTTCTTACTCCCACTTCGAAGCAGTACCTCGGCGACCAGTTACGCCATCCGTCCGATCCTATACATTCATCATCATCATCATCAACAGCCGGAAGACGTCTACTGCTGGACAAAGGCCTCCCCCTTAGTCCTCCACGTTGAACGACAACTCTCCCCACCTGCATCCACTGGCTCCTCGCCACTCTAGCGATGTCGTCGGTCCACCTAGCGGGAGGCCTGCCCACGCTTCGTCTTCTGCGTGCTTACTCTTGAAACCAATCAAATCCCAATAATGATTCAATGTCAAAACTGTACAACCCCTTTCGTAGCTGTTACAATAGCATTCAGAGTACGGAATATAAAACCAAACTCAATACCATTTAGTTTATTCAATATCCGCGCAATACGGATGCAATGGGCGCTAGAGTTGCAACTTAAGAGTACGAAATTTTACAATACCAATGTCGATCGATCGGAATTGGATTCAAGAGTAAGCCCCCTGGTCCGTGGAAGGAATTCTTATACATTGACATTTCTTTAATCTTTACATTTCTTTTACTCGTTCCGCTAGCGTTTAAATGGCATTTACGTATCTGATACCTAGAGACCTATAAAAGCATGGCGTGATAAACAATAAAGTGATGAGATAGGTCCAAGTATTCACACATTCACATTATCATGAAAGCTGCCGCAATAACCTTACCTAAAAGTGAATTATGCTGTGTTTATCTCAAGTGCGCGATATATTATCGAGCGCGCGATAAACCATTGGGCCCACTTATCTAGCCGCTTGACTATTTTTAAAGGGTTCATAGATACAAAGAGATTAGGGAAAATAGTTCTAAATGAGAAATTCTTTACCTATCACTTATTTCCACACTTAGTACTTACTTTTTGTAACTTAAAGATTTATCTGAATTGATATAAGATTATAAGATATCGTCCTGAAGAATCACTCTATTTATTAAAAAAACCGCATCAAAATCCGTTGCGTAGTTTTAAAGATCTAAGCTTACATAGGGACAGGCAGTCGGCGGCTACATAGTGATGCAGTGATAAGATTCATACTTAATTGATGACTGTTGATGAAGCGAAAGAGGTATGTAGGAATCGTAGCAATTGGCGTTCTATAGTTTCTGCCTACCCCCATGGGAGAAAGGCGTGAAGTTATGTATGTGTACTTTTAAATTGCAAAATACAAAACAAAAGTCAGATTTTAGTAACGTTTTTGTAATTAACTTTACAAACTTACTAAAAGATTTAGAGATCAAAATGATTATCATAGTTCCCTGGAGACAGGATAGTACGCAACGTGTTACAGAGTCCTTTCTGTACGGAACCATACTTCGTCATCTGTGTTTCTAAACGAACCTACGACATTACTGAAAATCTTAGTGTACGGCGGGCAAGGATGAAAAATATATTTGAGCACCTCATAGACGCCCCTCATTTTTTTTGGCTTCTCTGCCACTATAGGGGCTGTTGTGCACGCGTGTCTCGCGTCTCTCCTCTGTAACCTACAGCTGTAGCCAAATGTCATTTAGCGCTTGTCTACATGTAGAATAGAAAACCACATTATATGGAATTGACGTAAATTTTGAGACTTGTCAGTGTCATCCCCATACATTTAGTTTTCTACTCTCTCTGTAGACAAGCGCTAAAGTGGCGTATGGCTAAAGGTACTGGTGTCCTGGGCACTTGCCTATTTTGTCTTAGGGCTAATACGGTTCTGAACTGCCTATTATTAACAAGGCTACCTTAGAATACCTTTATTACTGGAATAAAGCTTTGAAGTTGTCTTTACAGCTGGAGTCTGCTGTCGGACTAACTCAAACACAAAGCCAAGTGATGTGCAACGCTTTGTGAGCTTTTTTACGAATCAATGTGTAAATTACAAGTGTTGTTTGTTGTTGAAACTATCATTAACCCTTTGAGTACCGTCATTATAGACACAATTAAAGAACAATAGGTTGCGGTCACCGGTGTCCTCGCGGTGTTTGACAGTTTAATTTAATCCAATCATTAGAAGGAAAGAAAAATCGTTTATTACGCTACGACACACATACAGACAACAATACAAGAACATGGATAATTTCATGGTGCGTCGCAGCGCAAAATGCTGGAGCTCTGCTGGCCTGGGCACGAAGGCCGGAGTTCATAGCGCTGATTTTCAGCACCAGCCTGCTTAATACCACCACAGATGGGGCCCAATAGGGCTGATGCCGACACGGATCCGCGGATAACCTAACGGGTTGCCGGGGCTCCGGTTCGAAGTGCAGGAGTAGGAACGGAGTGGTTTTTAGTCAGTAAAAGTCTGACACTCTCCCTCCCGCCTCACCCAGGCGGGATAAGTCATTCGATGATTTTCCCCCCGTTAAAAAGCCTGTTTAATACCGTTACAAAATGTGATTGATTACGTTGTTGTCGATTGAGATGAGCATTGAGCTAATATAAATAAATATCGATTCATGAGGAAATGAGTTTAGTTTCTAGATTAGAAACATACATGGAGTTTTTTTTTTTATTTTTTTTAATATTAAAGATTATTTCTCCACGGACTCTAGGTCCGTGCCCTTGTCATACAGTTTTTTAATTATAATACATCTAGTCAATTTTTATAAAGTAAAGAGGGAACCTAGTTACATACTACAATTAACTACATCTATAATTATTAGCAAAAGTATAGGTTACATAATAATTAGGCACTATTTATACATACATGGAGTTAAGATGCTCACTATTTTGATTAAACAATAAGTTATCTATTTACTGACTGCCTCGTTGGCCGAGTGGTCGCAAGTGTGACTGCCGGGCAATGGGTCTCGGGTTCGATTCCCGGGTCAGGCGAAGTATTACTGGGTTTCTAATTCTTAGTAGTAGCACGGAGACTGGAATTGTGCCCGGTATATGGCAATAGGCTCACCCCCTACATGGGACTCATAACATAAATAGTGAAAAGTGGGTGTTACATTGTACAGTCGAACCCGAGACCCCTTGTCCGGCAGAGCGCATTAGCGTAATAAACGATTTTTCTTTCCTTCTAATGATTGGATTAAATTAAACTGTCAAACACCGCGAGGACACCGGTGACCGCAACCTATTGTTCTTTGTACAGTGGCATTAAGTGCCGTAATGTGCAACTTGACTCCTTCGGAGATAAAACGTATGAAGTTATGTTTTGTTTTACCTATTTACTTAATTTCAAAACATTTACTTAATTTTTTACTCATAAACGATAAATAATAATCATAAAATTAATTTCGAAGTTAAACAAAAAGCAATCATACGCTCATAAGCCCACGAGTGCGTACAATCAACGCGATTTGATTATAGGACTTCAATAGTGATAAGTTATGATAGAGGGCGCTCTCGTCGAGCACTACACGCGAAATACATTAAAGATAACAAGCTAATGGATAACAAATATTTACCCATCGCGCAATTACTAGTAAATATAGAATTTCGGTAAAATATAGATTATGCATTGCATGATAGATTATAATTAGAGTAGGGCTTTTTAGATAGGACGGGATTAATCATATATTTCGCCAATCAATATCACGTATCATGGTGTTGTGAAGCCTAAATGGTTCTGCTATCTAGTAATTTACTTTAACTATCAGGAGTATTACTGTAACTA